GCTACGTTACCAGCTGCTTCGCTCTCTGAGCAGCGTCGCGTGCCCAACGCAACGAGGTAGGCCTAGCGCGACTTTAAAGAAGGAAATCCGTAGCGTCCACCCAAACGTCGTGTTTTTCTTTCCGTCCACTTTCTTTTTTTGTGTAACACAATTATATATATGCTGCAATTACGTGTTCTACTCGTCGATTTACAGCCTCATTCCCAATTTCCTCGATTTTTTCGTGCCCACTTCCACCGCTTGGCATCGGGCGCTCGCGCGTGCGCAGAACGCTTCTCGGAAAAGGTCCATTCACACCGCTGCCTGATCGTTCAAACGTTCGTCTGCTTTTTCGAACTTGTCTGCTTTTTGTCGTCTGCTCGTTCAAACAAAAGCGGCCCGTAGACCAAACTTTGACCCGGTGATTGCGATAAGAAGTAATTACAGGCCTCAAACGACTTAAGTAGGCTCGGTGTAAACAGTACATGCAAGATGTTGATCATTGGTACCAGTGGCCATCACCGACTTGTTACGCTTGGTCTGTTTCCGCTTCCGAATTTCAGTATCGACGTCGATCATCGCCGCACTTTTGCAGCACGAGCGACGTCGCGACCGAAAATATCTAGAAGAATCTTATCGTGGTTTTGGCGTCCATTCTGTGGCGTACACGCGAATGAATCGCCGCAGGTCAAATTACGCAAAGTTTAGCGGTGTAACGAGCCTTGATAGTTTCGCTCAGGCGATTAAAGTGGTAAGACATTGCTATGAGGACGTAGAATCGACAATTCCAACGCGAAAAAGAGTATGCAGACTCACACAGACGCCGACAACGCGACATTCCAATGGTTTGTGGACGCGGTGCTTCTTGCCCGCACTCCATTTCGCATGCGTTCGAACTGTCGTCTGCTCTTTCAAACTTGTCTGCTTTTTGTCGTCAGCGCGTTCAAACGACAGCGGCCCGTAAACCAAACGTTGACCCGGTAATTGCGATAAGAACTAAGTGCAGGCCTCAAAATACTTTTTCAAACTTGTTTTCAAACTTTCAAACTTGTCTGCTTTTTGTCGTCAGCGCGTTCAAACGACAGCGGCCCGTAAACCAAACGTTGACCCGGTAATTGCGATAAGAACTAAGTGCAGGCCTCAAAATACTTTTGAAGGTTGGTTGGGGTAAGTAGGCTAAGTGTAAAGAGTAGATACAAGAAGATGTTGGTCATTGTTACCAGTGGCCATCACCGATTTGTAATGCCCGATTCTACTTGCGGTTTTCAGTATCGACGTCCACCATCTCAGCTAAGGTCCACGCTTTTGCAGCCCGAGCGACGTCGCGACTGAAAATAGCGAGCAGAATCTCATCGTGGGAGTCAGGCTTTAGCGCCCATTCTGCAGCGTCCACGTGAAATGAATCGCCGCAAGTCACATTATCTACGCAAAGTTTTGCCTCGTAAATTTTGCTGAAGCCGCTCAAGCAGTCAGACATTGTTAGGAGGACGTAAAATCAACAATTCCAAAGCGAAAAAGAGCACGGGGACTCCCATGACGCCGAAAACAACGCTATGCAATGGTTTGTTTATGGGCGACGGGGCTGGCTTCTTGCCCTACGTCCACCGCGCATCCGCGGCGCCGGTGGCGTCCGCTAGGGGCGCTCAGGTTTGTTTATAAACATAGGAGAACCGAACGGAAGATAGGAGAACCGAAGGAAGTAGCAGTCCAGTTTGTGACATCGCGGATTTTGGACAAAGAGAATGGGAAAAGGCGAAACGAAGAGTCCCTAGTGGCACGTCGACAGGCACAGATGATATCCCTATCAAGCTGGTGAAGAATTTGGGTCCTAAATCTAAGGCAAAACTAAGGGAGGTAGTGAGTACCATGATAACAAAAGGAAATATTCCAGATGAATGGAGGCTTAGTAGGATGAGATAAGTCTGATATTAGGAATTCTCGTCCCATAACCGTGACACCGGTTATTTACAGGTTGGTAATGCAGATTATAAAAAACAGACTGGAGGAATGGGTAGATTGCGAGGGCATACTGGGCGAGTTACAGAACGGGTTTCGGAAACGAAGAAGGTTGGAGGACAATTTATTTTCTCTAACACAGTGCATAGAAATAGCGCAAAAAGAAAACAGACAGCTCTGGCTGGCATTTCTGGATATCAAGGGTGCCTTTGACAATCTGAACCGAAGGAACCTGTGGGACATAATGGAGAGCTTAAACCTAGATGAAGGACTAACAGCACTATTAAGGAACATTTACAAAGATAACAAGGTGGTTATAACATGGGAAGGAAAGGCGACAGGGAAAATAGAGATAAGACGAGGCCTTAGGCAGGGGTGCCCGTTATCGCCTTTGAGGATTGGAGGATAGACTAGAGAAGAGTGGGCTTGGATTCGACCTTTCTTACAGTAAGCTAGGCCAAAAAATTCAGCAATCCTTACCGGGATTGATGTATGCGGATGATATCGTACTAATGGCTAACAACAGGACAGAGTTGCAGGAATTAATGAGCATCTGTGGTAGGGAAGGAGAGGAATTAGGTTTAGAATTCATTAGCGAAAAATCAGCAGTCATGATTATTAACGAGGATGAAGTTGAGAGGCTGAACATACAGAATATTACAGTTGAGAGAGCTAGTAAATACAAGTATCTAGGAGTATGGATATGTGATGGTGCAGAATATCTCAGAGAGCATGAAAAGTATATAATAGGTAAGGGCAACAGAAATGCAGCTGTAATGAAAAATAGAGCACTTTGGAATTACAACAGGTATGAGGTGGTGAGAGAGATTTGGAGAGGGGTCATGGTGCCTGGCTTGACTTTTGGAAACGCAGTGCTATGCATGAAATCCAAAGTGCATGCGAGACTAGAAATAAAACAGCGCGGAGTAGGTAGACTGGCTTTGGGGGCACATTGCAAAACGCCAAACCAGGGAGTACAAGGAGACATGGGATGGGCGTCATTTGAGAGCAGGGAAGCGGTGAGCAAGATAGAATTTGAGGATAGGTTGAGGCAAATGGATGGGGAGCAATGGGCACGAAAGGTTTTCAGCTATTTATACATGAGGAGTGTAGACACAAAGTGGAGACAGCGCACTAGGAAATTAAGAGGAAAGTTTTTGGGCTATAGCGAAGATACGGAAGAGGAAGTCTCAGTTAGGAGGAAAGTTAAGGCCACAGAAAGAGATCGGTGGCTAGAGGGAATGCAGACAAAGACGGCTCTGGAAAGCTATAGATTAAACAAAACAGTTATTGCCAAAGAAAGCATTTATGACAATTCTAGGGGAAGCTCATTGTTGTTTGAGGCGAGGACGGGTGTTCTGCGAACCAGAACATACAGAGTGAAGTACCAGGAAATGGATACAGTGTGCACTGCTTGTGGAGAGGAGGACGAGACGGCTAAGCACTTGATACTCTACTGTAAAGGACTTCACTCTATGCCTACCGAAGACAACATAGATTTAATAAAGTCATTGGGTTTTAGAGACAGCGAAGGGAGAGTGGATTTCAAGACTGTAGAGATTACCAAGCAAAGATTAAGTGAATGGTGGCAAAAATCGAGAGAAAACTAGGTATTTTCTTATTCACTGATGGCAAGGGGGTTTCATAGCCTCACTTTCTTTGCACTGCGGAGTGAATATAGATTTCACATTTAAATATTCTAAGCTTAAATGGTAAAACAAAATGGCTACGTGGCGTAAGCTACCGCCCGATCCAAAGGGCTCAGCCGTATTCATCCATCCATCCATCCAAACATGAGTTGGTGTATAGCCTGCTAAGACCGGCAATCTTGATGGTGTGGAATGCACGTTGCAAAAGAACTGTGGAAGCTCGCCGTCAGCACGTGCTCAGCAACCACGCACACAGATATGGCCGCCAGTGAATACTCCCTATACACCATACAAAAGACGCACTGCATACAAATTCGAACGCGAGTCACCGCGAGAACCGTGCTTCGAATTCCGCGTGGCAATGAATTCAAAGAGAAAACTTGGCACGCGTCATTCGAATTTCGAACCCACGGATACAGCGGTGACTCGTGTGTGCAGACTGTCTTTTGTATGATGTATGAGGAGTGTGACCCTGGCTATAGATTCACTTGCGTGGTTAATAAAGAGAGACTTGGCACGGTAAACTGATTTTGTGGTATTTATTCAAAGCGGGCTAGGTCTATCTGGCCCAGGCGGTATAACCCTCCTCGAGACTGACACGCGAGCAGACAGCTTACGACTGCTTACGACATGACGCTACTACGTGTAACCAGCGGCTTAGACTTTCCATTTTCCCGGGGGGGGGGGGGGGGGGGGGGGGTTGGGGGTTGCTGCACGTTACCTTTTCGCCAGAACAGGAGATTGAAGCTGCTAAGGAAAGCACGCCGGGATTCCATTTTCCATGTATTTTGTCAATAAAGGCAACGTGGGCGTTATTTTGGTTACAAGCCACTACTAGAAGCTCATTACATGGCACGTAAATAGCGTCTTGGTAAGGATCATGGCCCGGGCCCGGGCGGCACGAGCCCCGTGTCACCCACCCCCCCGAAGTCTACGTCTATGCGTGTAACCACCATGAAAACGCTTGTCGTGAGTAGTCGGGAATAAAGCCCCTCGATAAAATTCACGCCTCGCGTTTCTCATCAACAACCACTGTAACGCGTACGGGCGCAAAATTTCCACGAGCAAGTGCTGCGCCACCATTCGCTTCCAAAGGCCGCACGGGGCACGTGCCTCGTACGTATCAACCAGTGCTGGAATATTTCTAACAATTGCAAAGGAAGTCGTTGAGAAATTAAATGGGACCAAAATGTTCTCTTAGAACTTGCATATATACCTAAAGATGGTGTGAAAAAATGTTTATCCTGAAACTGCATTCAGGCACAAAGTGAATAAATAATGTGCCCAGCAACATGCTGTGCATTTAGATGGAAGCTCTATAAAATTGGCCCACTCATATAGCACATGATTGCGAGTTCAAGGTAGTGTATTCATGAACAGGAGTGATCAACGAGACAAGAACACCTCTGGACCGAATGAACTCAACACAGTTTTTACTGGTGCCCTGAAAGTGTCTACAGAATGGGACAAGATCCCTGCAAGCCAGTCACTGTAGTTGCGCTATATTTAGAAGGGGCGGTGGAACTGCACAGGTACCCCTTTTATCCGACAATCAGCGTTCCTTCCTCGGTGAACTCGTAAGCAGGCACCTCAAGGTTGAGTGGTGCAGGCCCCTTGCGGATACGTCCCGAGGCATCATAGTGGGACCCGTGACACGGGCAGTAGTAACCTCCAAATTCTCCCGCGTTAGCAATCGGCACACAGCCCAGATGGGTACACACACCTGGATGGGACAAATGCATCAAGGTTAGAGCAAACATCAGCTTATTTAAGAAGCAAATGTTTTGCATAGAGAATAATCAGCGAGATAGTGATAAAACACATTTTTAAAGAAGCCATACCACCTATTTATGAACTAATTTTTCACATTGACAATTGATTATCGGAATCTGCTCCCTGAAGCAACGATTTCCAGAGAGTTATCATCATTGTTCTGTGCATGTACTGACACAGGCAATGATGTTTGATTGCATTATTAGGCTTGTAGATTACTCATGTCACTTTGGGGAGTGTCATACTCAGAGGTCGGCATTTTAGGTCGCCCTCACCCTCACAGCCATACTCACCAAAGCCCCTCACACTTGCCCTCACAGCTACACTCACCTTCAGCCCCTCATTCACCCTCATCCTCACAGTCACACTCACCTTCAGCCCCTTCACTCACCCTCACTGTACCTCACGGCCCTCATTCCCCTCACGCACTCATGGTCCTCACACCCCTCACTCACTCACCGCCCTCACGCATTCATGGTCAAGTTGCTGGGCAATTTCGCCCAGCAACTTGACGTCGCACCACCAGTAACACGGGCCGCCCGCATTCACACGCACCAACCAATTGCTGCAATTTGCACTATTTAGACACACAATTGAGTGCTATAAACATATTTTTATGCATTTAAATCTTGTTGAGAATACTAACTCATCTTTCTGAAACGGTTTATTTCCAAAAACAATCAATTTCAAACCACAACCAAGCCTTTATTTTTCATCATCACCGGCACGAGGTATCAAGTGAAAATATTGCATCCCTGATTGGCTGCAGCCGCTTCAAACGTCTTCGAATTGCCCATAGTTGCTCGCTTGTTTCGAGCCGGACCTGATCTCAGCAATTCGTGTCCATCTAGAAAAAGCTAGGGAACAACCCGCCAGCAACACCAAAATTGCTGAGCAAGTTGCTCCGTCTGAAGCAAGCATCGCGCACTCACCGCCCTCACGGGCACGTAGCCAGGGGGGGGGGGGGGGGGACCATGAAACCAACCCCCCCCCCCCCCCCCCTAAAATGCGCCCTCAAAAAAAAAAATTTGAATAAAAACTTTTTTTTAATGCTTACTCTGATGTTTACGTTTACTTTACAGTCTCATGGTGTAGTTTATGTAACGGTGACAAAGAAATTAATTGTGAGATTGAAGTTACTATGGCTGATGACGAAGCTCCTGCTTTTGTAGCTCCAATGCAAGAATCAAGAACGAGCACCGGAAACGGTGGGTCCGGCCGCTCTTTCAAGGCAACAAGAGCAGACGACGGCGGTCGGCACCGCCACACCGTCTGTAGACTGTGTACCGCCGACGGACGGGACTACTCTGATTCCTCGCGACGACGCACGTGACAACGACACGTGACGACTGAAAGCGCTGATTGCTTGGCGCCAGTTCAGACTCCCTCGCAGATACCATGCTCGAACGCAAATATCGAGCACCTCCAGATCGCTGAAACTCCGAAAACGCAGCAAAATATGTCGCGTTTCGAGAAGGAGGCGCAGGAAGCGACGTACAGGCGCCCGCGCCTCGAATATGTATTTGTGGTGACCAATAAACAGCTCGAAGCTGACTGACAACAGAAAGAATAAAACAAACTCCGGACAAGGAACGACGAACATTTCTTTCAACTGGCAACAACATGAATGAGCCCAAAAGCACTCCCTGCAATTCAGAACCGTCAAGAAAAAATGAGAGAAAAGGTGTGCAGTGTATTATGTGCGTGTTCGCCACGTCTAGCGAACATGACCTATTGAGCCAAACAACGCCGGAGGGAAGGGCCAGACTGCGGGCAACGGAGGTGCACGGGACGCCTGGAAGCAACAGACTGGGCGCAGACCAGATAGAAAAAGAGATCATTGTTACCAACCGCCCTGCAGTTAATGCTCGAAGCTCGTTCTTTGTTTTCAAGCTCGCCTTTCTTCACTCTTTTGACTTTTGTCGCCATTCGTCCTGGATCTTTTGGTGGTTGTCCAAACCGCCCAGACTCTGGCGACTTCACAACTAAAAATGAGTAGTTTTGTATGCCGTATTTTTGTCGCGTGAGTGAGAAATCTGCACACTGGTGCGTGTGATTCGATCGGTTAGCTAAGGATGCGATCTTGAAAGTCGGCCATGAACAAAGACTGGTCCAGTCAGGGCTCGCGGGCCAGCAAGCGACAAGGGTCATCGTCGAAGTTGACAAGTTTCTTCTCCAAAGTGCCGAAGGTATGAATTTCATTTATTTGTGCTTAATATGATTTTGTACGTGCACAGATTGTCTTCCGAATGCTCGGAGGTAACATTTCCGACGCTTTTCCAAACTACACTCGACTGTCATCTTGCGGAATAGGCTGTATCACAATCGGGGTCAAATTCTGCCATAACCATTTCCGATGGAAATAAAAGAAAAAGTATGTTTTTAGTTTTGAATTTTCCTAGCGACATCTGAGCCTCTGGTTTCAATGCACATGTTTCACGCTGGATAAGATTCGCCTGGCAAAGCTACTCTGAAGCTATCGTTGCAGTTTTCAAGGCCTTGAGCCCATATATATCTTGCATTCTCCTTTGCCATTTTGATATAATATTTATGTCGGATGATAGTACAATAAAATGCAAAAAGTTTGTCAGATAAATGTTGATATTCAACAAACCATATTTCTGGAGGATCTTAACGATGCCTTTTTGTGTTGTGTAACTAGGAGGCAAGTCCCGGGCTGTCGCAAGCCTCTCCAAGCGGAGAGCTAGCAGCACCAGTCCTGACGCCCGAAAATGCAGCAATGCTCCAAGCTGAGGAAGACACAAAAAAGGCCATCCCAACAAGTCAAAATGACACTCGGATGTTCGCTAACCGCACAGATATTTCTGATGACGTCAAGAAACGGGTCTATTCTAAAGTGTGGACGCCGCCACCAAACTATGCGTTCGATGTGTCAGTGTCAAAGGGTGGCAAGAAACGCAAGTTTCAGTCCCATTGGCTGCAGCGCTACAAGTGGCTTGCATATTCTGATGTGCAAAAGCGCACATTTTGGAAGACGTGTGTCCTCTTTTACCCCAAAACGGGAGCTGGAAAAGGCTCTCACCAAGAGTGCAAGAGCCTCGTGACATCACCCTTTACAAGGTGGAAGGACGCCACGGAGTCGTTTGAAAACCACCGAGGGACAGACTACCATAAGAGGGCGACTGTTGACGCCCAAAGCTTTCTCGATGTGATGACAGGCAACGTGGACAGCATCCAGATGCAGCTCAACAAGCAAGCCAAAGAGGAGCACGAAAGCAACAAAGCCAAGCTGCGCGCGATCGTTGAGACTGTTCTGCTACGCGGCAGACAAGACCTGGCACTCAGGGGCGAAAAAGATTCCGGGCGGCTGACTCTGGAAAAATCGGTCAAAAACGACGGCAACTTCAGTGCACTGCTTCGCTACCGAGCAAACGGAGGGGACTGCACCTTGGCTGAGCACATTCGGACAGCTGGAAACAATGCTCTCTACACAAGCCCAACAATCCAAAATGATATCATTTCAATAATAGGAAACCTAATTCAGGATAAAATAGTGGAAAGCCGAATTTTTCGCGGTGCTGGCTAATGAAACGTCAGACGTGTCGCAAACCGAGCAATTCTCCTTGTGCACGAGATACGTGGAGCCTAGCGCCATGACAATACGAGAAGATTTCCTTTGTTTCGTGGCCGTCGAGGATGTTTCTGCTTCCAACTTGGCTCACACACTTCCAACTTGGCTCACACACTGAAACACGAGCTTCTAAAACTTGGGCTGAATTTGAAGTTGATGAGAGGTCAGGGATACGATGGTGCCGCGTTGATGAGTGGGGCACTCCGCGGTGTGCAAGCGCTCATTTGCGACGAATTTCCAACTGCGTTGTACACGCACTGCTCATCGCACTCCCTCAATCTCTGTCTAAGTGACGCCTCGGCTGTTCAAGACATTAAACGGGCCTTTGGCACGATCAGCGACATTTGCTCATTTTTCAGGGCTTCCCCGAAGAGGACTGCTCTTCTCAAGAGGTACCTTGAAGAGTCGTCCCGGTCATTCTGTCGACTACGGCGATATTGTGAGACGAGGTGGGTGGAGCGTCACGAAGCCGTTTCCCTGTTGAGCGAAGCACTGTCTCAAGTAGTGACACGACAAGCACTGCAACCGCGTCTGCTCTCCACCATCGAGTGTGCTCCTTTAACTTTCTCATATGTCTCGCTGTGAAAGGTTCTTGGGGCTCACGCATCACCTGTCGGAGTACCTGCAAAGCACTTCTCTAGACATGAGCGTCGCCTAAGAACACGTCGACTCGATACTAACTAAATTGGAAGAATGTCCGCTAATTCTGAAGCAGAATTCAACAAAAGTTTTGATGCCTGTGAAAAATCAGCGAATGACTTTGGCGCAACTTGTGAGATGCCACGAGTAGTAGGTACGCAAAAGTATCGGGCTAACCAGTCTGCAAGCTCTGCGCGAGAATACTACAGGCGAGCAGCAATCATTCCCTACATCGACGATCTGCGGGCTTCTCTCGAGCGCAGTTTTGCAAGCCATAGATCAATGCTCAAGAGCCTACAGTTTGTTTTGCCAAGACAAGCTGCCAAAGGTGACTTCGAGTCTGTGCAGCCGGCATTCGAATTTTACAGCGAAGACATGCGAATAGTGCACATTCCAGCGATAGGAGGAGAATGGGAAATTTGGAAAGCAAAATGGCAGAGAGCAACAGAGGAACAATTGCCGTGGTATGCGAAAGACGCGCTATAGCGCTGCGAGGAGAGCTTGTTTCCCAATGTACACACCCTGCTGAAGATTCTGGCGACACTGCCAGTGACGACTGCGACTGCGGAACACAGCTTCTCCACTCTCAGGAGGCTGAAGACGTACCCGAGAGACCGGACAGCTGAAAACCGACTTAATGGAATGGCTCTAATGTCAGTTCACAGAGCGCCAGTAAGTGTCGACGAGGTAATCACGACGTTTATGGAGAAGCCACGCAAAATGAAGATCACAATATAAGTTGTATGTTTAGACTTGTTCCAAAAACAATTTTTCTATCATATTGTTCAAGAGAAAATACAACAATCAGTGAAGTGTTTGCAGCACTATGTTAATATTTTGCTTTTTTTTCATTTGTTCAATGCACTCCTATTTTCCATGTGAAGACGACCGTGCTAATTTTTTCATTTTAGAGTTTGTTTTGTTCATGACTTTCCCATGTGTAGACCATCGTGTTAATTTTTTTCATTTTAGAGTTTGTTTTGTCAATGACTTTCATGTACTTTTTTCCCTCCAAAGTGAGTCAGGCGACATGGCAACAGGCCCTCGCAAGCTGCAGCAATAAGGCTTGGAATCCTGACTTCCTTCTTTTTTATGAGATAAAAATGTTAATAAAGTGCATTACTATTATTAATATTAAATCGATTTTAAAATATGGAGTATTGCTACTAAAAATACAATTCTAGGGAAACAGTAAAATAAATTCACTTATTATGCCCAGTAAAAAAAAAAAAAAACAGGAAAAAGGAAAGTACAACTACGGGGTAAATAAAGAAGCAATAAAGCGAAATGAAATCAAAAGAAGTATTTTAGCCTAAAAATATCCTTTTGTGTCTTATATGCTCCGAGTGAAGGTGCTTTTCTAAAAAAATGATATGCTAGTCTAGCTCTGGTATATTCAAACATACCATATGCCAATATTTAGATGACCACGGGTGGACGAAAAAAAGCGTAACATGTAATTTAAATTCGGGCTAGTAGAGAGAGTTCATTTAATGCATTAAATAATGTTGCCATCCCACCCTGAAAACAAATCCTGGCTACGTGTCTGTACCCTTACCATTTATATGGCTAATCTGACGGCGAGGGCTTCGCAGCGGTGGCATTGCGAAGTGCTCAATGTCTTCTTGGCGAGACATGGGAAATTTAATGGGAAGGCAATGTCTTATTGACAAGTAATTAAAACCAGGGTGTCGAACCGGAACCGAACCGAAAACCGGAACCGAACCGGTATTTTTTCTGGAACTGAACCCGAACCCGAACCATTATATTGTTATCGCGATGAACCCGAACCGGAACTGAACCGGAAACAAAAAAAAACGGTTACCGGCTCATGTCAAAACGGTTCGGCCACGCGCTGTTGACAATGGATGTGCTATCAATGCCATTTGTTTTTTAAGTGCCGTCAACTGACACACACCTCGCTTACATATTTTTCTTCTCCACTCAGTCTTAGGAATATAAACGCTGCATCCATGAATCTTGACAAATGCTGCATCCATGAATCTTGACATAGGAACCAGTATTGCGCTGGTCGCGGCTTGCACGGAAAAAAAGAGAATTGGAAGGCTGTGCAAAAAAAAAAAAAAAAAAACGCGTCACGGGATTTCATTTTCTTGCAATCTCGTAAATCCTAAATGCTGCTGTGTGCTCATTTCATAACACGTTTCTAGAACGTGATGTTGCATTTTTTTTTATTTTTTTATTTTGATGTTATTTTGATTTTGTTATTTTGATGTTGCAATTTGTCATTTATAATTTCCGAACCGGTTCGCGAACCGGTTCAGCGCCTCGAACCGGTTCGCGGATCGAATTAATCGAACCGGAACTGAACCGGAACAAAATAAATTTACCTGAACCTGAACCGTAACCGAACCCGTATTTTTTTCGGTTCGACACACTGATTAAAACAATTGTCTTTTACGACAGTAATTAGTAACGGTAATTTAGGAATCATTAGCTTGTAGTCTATTACATTTATGATGCAACGGGGACAAGTTTTCTCTAGCGATAGCTCGACCCCCCCCCCCCCCCCCCCCCCAAAAAAAAACAACCTGCCTATGTGCCTGCGCACTCATACCCCTCACGCCACTCACACACTAACCACCCTCACGCACTCGTGGCCCTCACACCCCTAACGGCCCTCACACACTCATACCCCTCACGCCACTCACCGCCCTCACGCACTCATGGCCCTCACACCCCTCACGCACTCACCGCCCTCACACACTCACGGTCCTCATGGCCCTCACTCACCCTCACGAATTTTCCTGCTTCAGAAACCCACTCACCCTTACCTCACCTGTGAAGATGACGGTGAGTGAGGGTGAGTGAGGGCAATCATGAGTGATGCTTGCTGAGGTATGGTCATACCTCTTCATGCCTCTTATGGTATCATTAATCTGGTTGGTGAGCTCTTTATCACTTGCATGAATGTTGTGTGATGCTTCCAGGATGTAAAACTTCTATCATAGTCCTTACATAAAAATGATAGTATGAAAAGTAAATGAAAAAAACTAAGAGTGGCATCAGTTTTCCTACTATAATGACAGGATTCAAAATGCTGCATGACTCAAACTCCACGAAGACCTACCGCAGAATACCACGCATCCGCCCATTACCAAATTTGTAAGATATGAGAAAATATGCACAGTACATTTATATGTGAAATTGATGACCGGACAAGCGCCCCTCCCCCATTTTTATGCGATTATCTATAAAGTTTGAGTGGGTGCTTGCGCGATATTTTACGGTAAATATGCCAACATAATGCAGTAAAACTCGAAATCCAAACAGAGCAATCAGGTTTGACTGAGCTTTGGGTCAAGTGTACAATCTAAAAAGATGGCACTTTTCAAATAAACTAAAATTTCAAGCCAACACTACATCATTCTAGGATCTCCTGGCCTTATATACTTCAGGCAGATGTGCCAGCCAAACGAAGCAGATTTGCAATTCGTTGTGACAGTGCGTGGGTGCTCATGCAGTGTACACTCTGTCCACCGCTAAGCTGACAGGGCGATGAAAGCTATGTGCTGGTTTCACCAGTCAACCGTTGGTCTTGCACCACGTGATCACACTCTTTATGCATACTCTCGAGCAAAGAGGAGGGTCAGACAATCAAAAGCAAGCATTGGATTAAACCAACAAACCTGTAGCTTGCATCGCCCTATCAACTTAGCAGAGAACAAAGTATGGTATAGTAGATATCACAAGCAACATGGAGTTGTTTCCCTTGAGAAGAGTGCATGACAAATACCTATAACAACCAGCCATTCTGGTTTCTGCATGCGTTCATTGTCGTGTTGTGGGTCCCGCAAGGAGCTGAGGTCCACCGATCCCTCACGGCTGATCTCATCAGGTGTTCGATGACGTATGAAGAGAGGCTTTCCTCGCCACTTGAAGGTCGCATTCTTGCCCTCGGGGATGTCACCCAGCTTCACCTCAATCTTGGCCATGGCCAGGACATCCGCAGATGCAGACAGAGCCATCACAAACTGTGTCACAAGGGACTTGGCGGCATACGTAGTTCCAAGGGCACCCGCTGCACATATATGATGCCAAATTTTAAAGGGGACACAACTATATAGTAGTTAGGTTCACTACATTACACAACAGAATAACACAATACACTTGCAGCAAACATGCTGGCTGCAGTTCATTTCACAGATTTCATGCAATGTAGAGGTGGCCCCAGGATTGCATGTGGGACTAGATAGTTCATGACCAAATGCTGCAACAATGTGGGTGCTCCTTATCTGCATTGTTTTGCCGCTTATAGCGTCAGGCCATGGAGGTTGCCCAAATGTTGTTTTGCTGAGTGTATGATCACCGGGATGTGAAAGCATAAAGCACTGGTTAGGAGGTGCCTAAAACTGAAAGGCTGCACCGTTTAACTCAGTGTTTGACTTCCATAGGAATTTGCTGATGTGGAAAAAAGGCTGTTCTTTTATGTACACATGTGCTCGAATGTTACATGGCAACTTTCTCAGCAACTTTGAAGCACAAGAAACAAAGGTTAGTTCTGCAGCCAGTTGAGGAAGGTCATCTATGAGCCTGATGTGCAAGCCAGCAGGGAGGATCCCAAAGACCAACGTCTGGCTGTTCTACACACAGAGATATTTTCTATGATAATGGCGACTGCGATCAAGGCAACTTCTGTAGCGTAGTGGACATGGACTATATTTGATAAACTCCACAGCATTGTTGACTCATTCAAGGTGGCTGTGGTGGAAAACTTTCAATGACTGAAGAATCAGTTAACCTGATATTTGCCAGCACTGTAGTTGCAAACATTTTCAATGCCCTATACAAAAATAAATTGTACTACTAGTCATTTGAGCATAGAAACACATATTGTTCCAGAGTCGAACAAGTGAACTGTTTCACTGTTGCCAAACTAATATGTCAATTCAGTAGTACTAGAAGAAAAGTCTGGCATATTTATTTGCAGATGTAACACAGGAAAGAGCTGAAAATTGTGCTGCATGGGAGCTGACATTTTCATAGTGTGTTTATTTTTATAAAATTCAGTCTCTTGGGAATAAACACTCCTTCAGTTTTCCTCCATTCGCTTAGTACTGATTTTTTTTAACTGCACATTCCCACAAAACCGGGACACGAGGCTTTTTCGAGGCAAAATGCGGGAACGATGTAAATTGACCTCTAAAACGGGACTGTCCCGCCCAGAACGGACGTCTCGTCACCTATAAGTAAATGATAAAAATGGTGATGACCAGAAAGAAGAAATCCCATTTCAGTTACAGCTACAGGTAATTACTAGAGATGGGCAAATATTCGGTCATTACAAATAGCCCATCGAATTCCTGTTCTACTCGCCAATCGCTTCGAATTTAAGTATTCGACATAGTTGAATTACTCGACAATAATGAATTATTCAACCTTTCCAAATACTCTGGCTTGGATTTCCGGCCAGGTGGCGCAAGCTTTCAACCATTTTGTGCTCCCAAACTCAGTACACTTGAAATTAACAATCACAGTACTTCTAATACCAAATAAGAGTAATGTAAAACTATAGTTTAAACATATCTTGTGGTATTTGTTGCTTGTACTATTCAAGCTATTTGATTCAAAATTATTCGGCCAAAATCACTATTCATTTCGAATTCGATTCGGACCCAAAATCCTCTATTCGTCTATGCCTAATAAATACTATTTTTGCCAACACAAACTACAAAGACGACTCATTCGTGCATGGACATACCCTCGCATCTCACTCAAAAATCCCTACTTTCATGACACTAAAGGCCCGTACACACTCTTGCGACTGTGTAAGACCGAGAGAGACCAGACCGGTTTTTAGGCCTCTTGCGATCTCTTGGACCAGCTCTGCTGCAGCGCATCCAGTCCTAAGAAGTCGCAAAAGGCTTAAAAACCGGTCTGGTCTCTCTTGGTCTCAAGAGTGTGAACGGCGCTTCAAGACCGACCTACGAAAATTTTTTCCAACGAGAAGGAAAATCCTTTTCGCCACCCTTTTGATTTTCCTCTCCCACTCTGCGACCTCGACGACCGGGGACTCCTTTTGTTGCTGCATCTTAGGGTGGGACAAGCCGGGATAAGCTCATTATCCGGGGTTCATGAGGGCAGCGACGGCGTCGGGGTGGGGGGAGGGGGGGGGGGGGGGGACGATTTTGTGTTTTCGAGGGGTCTTGCTTCCAAGTTCCTACCTCCCGTCCACAGCAGCCCGACTTTCTCCTCCATAGCGTCTCGCCTGTTTCTTTCCTACGGAAGTGGGAGGCTTTCTACTGGGCTTTTTTGGCTACTCATTCTCACCAAATTCCAACGTGGGAGGAAACATTGCATGAGTGTAGCCCTGTTTATTTGCAACCTAAATAATGTTGCTTTACTGTTGCGCTCCAATCAGTTTCATCATCAATCATTATTTGTTAGGCCTGGACGTCGATTAAAAATTTTAACCCCATTAAGCGCCACCGTTTAATCGATTAATTATTCGATTAATCGGTCGCGCCGATTTTCAGGTATGATATGCCTAAAAAAACGAAAAAATGAATAATGCCGGCGTCCAAGTATACCCTCATATCAAATCGTTAGACAGAGTTGTAGAGAGGAATGTGTTTCTTAAAAAAGATTTTGGATCCTTTCTATCCGGTCCGGTTTTCTATAGGCCTCAAATAATGCGGGTTAATTTTTCCTTTTGTCGCATTCCAACTTCTCTGCTTCCGCAAATTAAGAATGTGGTACGTTGGTCCAGTGGCTTAGAGCTCACTTCTTGGAAGGAACCGAAAATAAAAACGGACCAGTACAAGCTAAACTATGCAAGATGCTTGAACAGAGCCTGTCGTAATGAAAATGAACTGCTCTAATGTGGTAAGTCGGGTCAGTCGGTTCATAATTTTTCATCCCCTTTTGAAAGGCTCCAAAAAAACAAGAAACCAGGACAAGCTGAGTGATACAAGGCGCCTCATATTGTTCAGGTTGTCCCGGTTTTTTATGTCCTTTCGGCGCTCCTCAAAATGCAGTGTTCGGTTTCTAAACGCCGTTTTCGTTTTCACACAGAAATGAGACAAAAATACGTAATAATTTTTCACACCAGCGCAATGCAATAGAGACTTCTATTTCCAGCAAGCTGCTTTCCGCCATGTTTCCATGTCATCCTCCAGACCGCGGATGTTTGTGCAGAGTGATTAAACTATTTCTATCACAAAACAGCGCAAAAAAGATGGGACACAAAGTAGAAGGGCAGAGGACATATGCTGACTAACAACCATTGGTGTACTAGAACTTCCACGCACGCACAGTGGCACGTGCAAGCACATGCTCTTCTTTCTCTTTCTACAGAGATAAATGCTAGTAAAGAAAAACCTAGAAAAAAATGTGAGAAGCAAAAGAAACATCTACCGCGGCACTAGAAGAATGTTGCAAAATGCGTGACCAAAATAAATACTATAAATTAATTTTGACAGCAGCTCGAGAAAACAGTAAGATTGTCGCTGTGTTCACCTCACGTTTGCAACACGTGCACACCGCGTTCAAGACTCAAATTAGACCTTTACGGATCTCGTATGGCAGTCTACTAAGGACGGTTGCAATTGAGAAGTTGGAATTCCCTGTTGGTCATTCAACCAACCAGCCCAGCAATCTATCCTGTTAAACTATTTACATCTAAATTGACATGCACTATAAATCTGGTACTCTTTTTTAGAAGCAGCATGTTAGTGCACATGAATTACCCCAGCGGCTTGCCTTCTAATCGCGTGGAAGGAAAATGGAAATATCCCGGGCATGATTTGTGCAGAAGGCTAGATTCAATGGTCGCCTATTATTTCTACCAACTCCCTGACACTTTCTCCAAGAAGCGAGGTTTTGGTGGAAATTTGTTGCTCGGCCGCTATTTTTTGTAGTGGCGCAGAAAAAAAAGAGAGAGAGAGAGAGGGAGAGAGGGAGGCAGAGAAAAAGTAACAATTTTTGCAGGCTTTTTTTTTTTTTTTCATTGCGATTGCGACAGTTTGTTTTGTTTAGGTATGCTTTTGTTTAGGGTGCTACATTATGGTGTAAACAATTTTACGTACTTCCCACAAATAGTTTATCGTCATTGATAGTTGTCAAGTATTACGCACTGCCTCGGGTGCTTTGACCTTACGCACTAGAGCGTCACAGGAGGAGTATTTCCGGAAAATAAATACGAGGACCTATTTCTCCCTTTGAATCGATCACTTCTGTGGCATCACGAGCAACACACTTTGACCATGAAATCATAAAAAAAAATGACTGATTATGAAATTGATTGAATCCCAACAGTAGAGCCACATTATTTAGGTTGCAAATAAACTGGGCGTCGTTCATGCAATGTGTTTACTTCCATGTTCGAATGTGTTGAGAATGAGTTGCCAAAAAGCGCAGTCTGATTCATGGAGTGGCCGGATAGCTCCCCAACTCGGGAAAGGGGGAAGGGGTAGAGAAAGGGGTGGTTGTTGTGGGAAGGTGATAACATTTATTCTCACTCAGGAGAGTCACCGGTCATTAAAAAGCTGACTCGCTCATAACGGGAAAACCTATGGGGCCACATCTATAGTAACTATGAGTAAAATGTGGTATACAGCTAGGTTACTGTGAAGTTGTGATAGTGCAAACGATGGGGCGTTGTGGAGGCGGATGAAGCAAAGATTTATCTTACGACTGCGCCGTCTTCATTAGAAGCCAGGATTTCGGTTTGTTTGTTGCACCTGTACCGGATGTATCCAATATTGAATACATCCGGTACAGCGTTGATCGCGGAAGCCCACGCCAATATTTAAGGGCCTTTATCAAGTTAAAAAACAGTCATCAAGCAAGGGTAAGGACGAATCATAGTGCAAAATGAAATGAACAACCTATGAGAAGATATATATGTTTCGAACAGTAATAAAGAGATTAGGAGAAACCACTTGATTTATATGTGTAGGTGGAGAACACCACGGTTCGTGAGGAGAAAAAGGAAGTTTAAGTCTAAGCTCTGACTGAAGAAGAAGAAGCTACCCTTTTAGGATTGGGTTAAGGAAAAGGAAGTTTATTAAAAAGGGTTGATAGTCCAGCAGTGTGTTTCTTTCTCTCTTCGTCGCTTTTCCTAACGTTCAGCTGGTAATCAGTAAGCTTGTGCAGACACGGGAATGGTTCCAGCAGCCGCACGATGCCAGAGGGCGGCTGCTGGAACGACCCCAGCATACCGCGGCCCCTCGACCACCGACCAAGCGGCCTCGAGCCTACAGCTCATAGAAAAAGGCGCTCAGTCGCGCTGGCTTCCTCAGTCTCGCGGATTGAGCATGCCTGCGTCAACGAGGGGAAGACACCTGGAAGTCTCAAGGTCCTCGTGGCCTTCGCAGCTAGCTGCTCATTTTGCGCGTTCTGAGGATTATCCCTACAGGAAAAGCCGACACAAAAGAAGCCCCTGCCGTCACGTGACTTTTGGGAGAGGGTGAAAAGAAGAGGGGTGCGAGGGGCATTTTCCTACCTTGCGGAATATGGTTTCGTAGGTCGGTCTTTAAGCCACAACTTTTCATTCAAGATTACCAGAAGACTTACCGACACCTTAATACGCCTCCTGCATTGTACTTCATCATTCCCAGTTCGGTCTCGACTGTTCAACTAAGTAAAGTGAAGCTCCGGCATATATTGCACACATTTTGCATCGAAACTGCTCTCATGTTAAATTGGGCGGTGTAGTACATACATGTTGAAGCTCCAACACTTAACAATGATGGCATGCTTTGTCAAACAAGCTCTACAATGCTTCTTTGCTCTCCACAGTACACACATTCAGCTGAGTAGCTGCTCCTCAAACCTACCTCCGAGAATAAGGTAGCTGTGCATTTTTCGAGGGGTTTCGGTGTCTCTAGCGGGCTTCGTGGGATCACTTGTTAACTTGTGTCTGTATGGTGAGAAGTCAGGCACCTTCAGGTCGGTGTGGGCCATTCGGATCTGCACACCGGCTGTATGAGGGCAGAAAGCAAGCAACGATTAATCAGCAGAGAGAACTAGGGACGTGAGGATTGGCACCTCATGTGAAGGTCATGACCATTTGCGGCATGGAGGCTTACTGCCTCATTCATACAACGTGCACAGTCACTAAAACTTTGATGTAAACACCGTTCTTGTACAGAGGACGATCTTCTGTAAAATAACCTACCCTTGAAGCTCCCAGAACTTGCGAAGAGTTCCCTGGTCGGCAAAGACTTGGCAAGGGCATAGTGCGACTTCTTGGTAGGCAGCGGTGGAACCTTTTCCCCCTCTGCGATTGTAACTGTAGGTACTAGCGGCTTTACCTGGGATGCCACGGTTTTAGATGAGGCTTTAACATATTGGACGACTTGAGGAGCCCGTCCCTTGACGCTGATCATTTTGAAATAATTGAGAAAGACTACCGAAGAGTCTCCCGGACCCACGAGCAGCCACTATGCGCCACTGGGTACACCGGAAACGAGCGGCGGGGACGTTCTGTTTCGTTCCGGAAGTTCTCGCTCTAGATTTCGCCCCCTCGCTTCGTAAATTTTCCGTTTTGCGTTAAATAATTCGAACATACAACAAAAATAAAAACACAACTATAAGGTAACCTCTTTTAACTTTCAGTAGGTTTGATTTAAAAAGAACGAAGTATCAACAATAAGACGGACGTGTTCTTCTGTGTCAATATCTTCAAATACGAAACATATTGATGCAAATCAAGCACGCCATTGACGCCATCAGGCAGGCCGCTCGCGTTGCTGGCACTGTCGAACGTGTTTATATTTGCCACATGTGCATTTATTAATAAGCGAGAGGCGGCGGCAGGCAGTGGGACAGTGGTAACAGAAAAAGAAAAAAAAAAATTAAAACCGTCGAGCTGTCGGGCTTCAAACGACTCGAGCGAGCTCACTTCGTTCGCGCTTTACAACTGCTGCTGTTCCGCAGTCAGGTGACTGGATAGGCGGTAGCTACAAGTGCGACCGGTGAATCAAATAACCGTAACAGCTTTTGACCATAACAACTGAACTGCCATGGCATCGGGAGAGGAAAGTTCGAAGAGAAACGTTGCATTGATTTCTGGAATCACCGGTCAGGTGCGTACGATTCTATCGCAGGGCCTCGGAAACATCCCACCGCTCGTAACTGGCACAGTGTTTCCCTTCTATGCATTCACGCTTCGTTTTATTCCTGTTTTCCTTCTCCTTAGTTTCCGAAGTGTGATCTAGGTGCGGAGTTGGCGATCAAATGTCGACGATAATGGTTTGCATTTCACCCAGCTTTGAAATTTGAGCCATAAATGAGAAAGTTACGAGACGCTTTTAGTTCACGGCTTGGATTTTGAAGCCCGGTGTGCTTAGGACACTTCCCTGTTTGTGGTTATTTCCATAACTCCTTGTGTTCACACGTGAAAATCTAATTCGGCATTTCCCAGTACAATCTTGTTTTATATGCTACATGGCGTCAACGTCTGCAGAGCCGAGTCACATCCAGCTCAATCTTGAATAAGCACAAAAGGCAAGGTTTGTTTGGTTTAATATACCTTACATCCCTCTCCAGCGCTGTTTCCCATTATAATACTTCTCATACCTGCTAAAAATAACAAAACCAAGAACTTGTTTGGGTCAGCGAGGGTGTTGTGGGGTAAATTTGTTGTCTGGAAAATGCATGAATGTGCATCACTTTTCCGGAGCGAACCACAGTACATTTTATTTTTCCTTTTTATTTTAGTTTGCTTAAACCTAGATAGCCAATCAAGCACGGAGAGTGCCTGGGCAGCACAGTACTTTTCTAGTCTTTCCGAAAACCAGATGCATTGTCCTTTAGCCTCTTATGAGGTATTCCCTAAACTCGAAATAACAATCTGAACCTACAAAATTACCAGTCAACCCCTTTTAAAGTTACCCCCTGTGCAAATAGATTTGGAAATAACGCTTCATAGTGCTTAATCAAGTGTGCAAATGGCATTGCGACGCTTGCAAGCTTCCAAATTAGTTTGGTTCTGAAAAAGTTCTAAGAACTTAGTGCTACTTAGAAACCTGAAATATTTTAGTTATGACCTGAACATTTATTTCTTGTGCTTGAAGGATGGATCCTACCTTGCTGAATACCTTATAGGACTGGGCTACGAAGTTCATGGAATCATTCGTAGATCCAGCTCGTTCAACACTGGCCGAATCCAGCACTTGTACAAAGACCCAAAGACCCATCAGCAAGGCTGTAAGTATGTACCGTAACTGTATTTGAAAACTTCATTGTAAACAACTGTTTTGAAAATGTTATCTTAGAAACCAAATCAAATATCAACTGAATAATAATGGTGCCGAATCGAATAGGAATTCAATAATTCCCGAATTGCAGCTGTCTAACCACAATTTGGAAGTACACTGTCTAGAAGAATAGTTCAGTGTCCACACGGTTTCCTAGAAATTGCTGTAAGAACGCAAGTCTCAAGGAAAATGACTAGACTTGAACAGCATGATTGAAGAGAGCCAGAAACTAAAACAATGTGTGGATTGGCATCTTGAGGATGGCGGAATGCACGAGGCACTTAGATGAACTAGCACCCGAGGATGCTGAATGGCTGCACCATAGCAGCCGGTCGGCGATTCATATATATAGACAGAAACATCACTATGTTATGCTTTCCCAAAGCGTGAACGAGCAGTTTTGTTGGAAAGTGTGCAGTCTTGCACTAAGGAAACGACACTAGAGACAGACTAACCGGTAGGGCTGATGGTGACGATCCCTACGAGAAGAGTGCAGCGAGGTATGGAAGGCGCGCAGTAGGGTGCCTGTGAGGGGAAACTCTGAGTGCTAAACCGTTTCGACTATTCTGAAATTATTAGAAAAATAGTTGGAACTGAAAAATCACTGTTCGATTCGAATAGCACGCCGAATAGGGCAATATTTGCTTCACTATTAGAAAAATATTAATATTTTCGCACGCTTATTAATAATAGCTTGGGAAAGTTAACCCTGTTTTTCATACTGCAAAACTAGATGATGTGTCGCCAAGCACTCAGATTCTGCCCAGATGGAATCTGTAGTGCAAGCAGTTGGTATAGGGTACCATAGTTTCAGAACTCAGTGTCCACATCTGACTTGTTAAAAGTGATTTTCTCAAATTTTTGTTGAGAATATTATAGCCAGAGAAAGCAGCAAATATCTGGAGACAAATATGGTATGCTGCCAAAAATGGGTGTCATTCTCAGTGTCGATTTAAGAAAATCTCTTCAAACTATTGAATTAGATAGTGTCAAGTTCTGAAACTTTGGCACCTTGTTCCAATTACTATAGACCTTTTCCGCTTACTCTCGCCCCCGACTGCCAATTCGGTATGGGCGACGAAAAAATATCAGAACGTTTCAACCTGCAAATAGTAAAAAAAAATAGAGGGGAGGAAAACCGAGAATGTGTGACGCTTACGTTTTTATCCTAAATGCCTTCTATTGGCGTCGCGACGGCAAAACAATGTTTTCGCCCATACTGGAAGTGACGACGATTCAAGATGGCGGCATCCTTGCGAAAAAGGTCTGTAGTCAGTGACAGGTTAAGAGTTCAGGGCAAGGGAAAGGAAGGCTGGGGAGGAGGAAGCCGGTGGAATGCTGGAGCGAAGGGAATGTTTCCTCCTCTCCTCTCCATCAATTCATCTGCTTCCTCCTCCCCAGCCTTCCTTACCCTCCTAGGCTTAGCCAGGGGTGGGGGGCATATGAGGCTTCAGCTCCCCCCGGAATCCAGCCGGCCCTATAATATACACATGCATTCTGACGCCCCTCCCCCTCTCCGCACCCCAAGTCATGGACATCCCAGCCACCTCAGCCCCCCTCCCCCCCCCCCAAAAAAAAAAAAAAAAAATTCTGGCTATGCCATTGTTACTTTTGCCCTGAACTCTTAAGCTGTCACCAACTATAGTGCTATTGAAGTTTTCAGCAATGCATAGTTTATTTTTGCAATGGAAAAAAACTGTTTTCTTTTTTCAGTTGACAGCCAGTGCTATGTTACTACCATAGGTATATCATTGAAGTAGCATGAGGGAGCTATTGGGGCAAACGAATGTCATGGTCAGTAAGTTATTAAAGGTGGCCTAGGATAAATGTGCTCAGCTCACTTTACATTCCTTCAAAGAGCCAGTGTCTGGGTAGGTGATTCTTGGTCGTTTAGTCATTGGCAGTCAAAGGGCAATTCCAGCCTCAAATCTCTCTCCAAAGCCGAGAATTCCACTCTGTTTTCGTTTCTTTCATCTGATTATAACGTAAAGCAGGACACATGCAGCCACATCACACTGTACCCTCTAGAGTGCTGTTATTGGTGGTGAACGCCTTCTTGGAGCTCCTACCCGTGATGTCGCAAGCAGGATTAGCCTCAAAGGCTGTCATCCTGTTGACTTATCGTCGGTTGCAAATGACAGCTTCATTGTTGTGTATAAAGCGCACCATCGAAGTAAAGTGGTTGTAGCCATCCCAGGCTCTAAAGCAGTGTCGTCAAAGTTATACTACTTCATTGTTGAAATCAGGATAAATTCTACTGTATTTAATTTTATACACAATGTATAACATTGCCAGAGTTGCTGGCATGGACATGTGGCTATGTCTTGCATTTCATTGGCATGCGCTCCCTTGGAAACAAGACACTAGGTGAAGCCATGCGCTCACACCACTAAGTTTGGCAGTATTGTATACTGTGCATGAAACAATGTCATGGTGAGCTCTTGGCTGATCCTGCAAGGCCGATTACAGCGTCACATTCGCTCAAGAACATCTCCAATGGAGAGAGAGCAGGTCAAAGAGTGGAGAATGGCGAGCTGGCACCTGTGGTGTCACGGAGTGCTTTTAGTGTACGTAATTAGAAAATTTTGAATGCAAATATTCGCAACTCGAAATCTGTTTAGGTTTTCTGTGCAAGAACTGCCGGTCAAGAATCAGGTGTTCAAATCTGCACTCTTTTTCTTTTCTATGATCACATTCTCTGATAACATATTGCATGAAATATTTTTGGCGTTGTAGGTTACCTAAGGCACATATTATCAATAAAAGTAATAAGATCCACAAAGCATTCTTTTTAGGACCATTGATACACCAAAACCGCATTGATTTGGAGAAACTTCGAGCACATATAGTTCCAGCAAGTGACTCCCATATGCCATAACATTTTTGAGCTCCACACTGGTCCTCTAACTTCAATTTAAACTTTTGCACAAAAAAAAATGATAATAATAATAAAAATTTAAAGTGTCATTGCTAAACAGCTAAATTCTGACTCCAATGCCTAATCCTCTGTTTGTATATCATTTCAGCCATGAAGCTACACTATGGTGATCTCACTGACAGTTTGAGCCTCATCAAGCTCATCAGAGAGACACAGCCAACGGAAATCTACAATCTAGGTGCACAGAGTCATGTCAAGGTAATACTAAATGTGTTTTTTTTTTTTTTTTTATTCTTTGAATTCGAATTTAAAGCGATACATTTATCTAAAGGGGAACCAGCTATATTTTGCTCAACTTGTCTCCAGGAATCTGATAAGAATCTAGATTAAGCGTAACTAAACTTGGAAGCTTCTTCAATTGGGAATTGACTGATACGATTTAACACGAGTCAGCATGCGCTTCAAGGATACTACTGTATGCACTCCTGAGTTAGATTGCAATGATGTGATTGCTGCTTCAAAGCGTTTACCCTACTGCATCCTGCTATATTTCACCAAAATGTGAGCAATTAGCACCAACATTCTGCCAAACGTTAATTTATTTTTATTAATGTGAAAATAACAGCTGAGGCATCACTACACTTTGAAAATGTTTTGTAAATCAAAGCTTGCAACAGCAAAAATCAGCAAGCCACAGTTTGTACATTAAGCAATGTTGAAGGTCCTCGATTCCCAGAACTGTAGGAGAGGAAATTAGAAGTAAAAGAAGGAAGGAGGCTAGCTGGGAAGAGAGTTATGGAGAGAGGGCTTTCCTTTTGTAGAAGCTAATTTATTCTGTCATTGTATGGCACAATAAAAATGGAGGCATAGAAATGTAGCCAAGAATGAGGTTGGTTAAAGCCCTTGGTGACCCTGCACCTGTGCGAACCAATGGAGCATATGAAGGTACGGTATGGTAGTTATGAAAGGCAGCGTAGCTCCATTGTGGCTTTTCTGGTCCTGTCGTAAATTCTCTCTTTCCAAAGAAGTGTTCTGCACTCTCCCAGAAAGGTTCTAGAAGAAAGAAAAAAAGAGTCGGCAACAAATATTGTCAGTTTTCAAAGGACTCTCCAGGATTAAATGTTTATAGCAAACCTAACAGACCTTCTTGATTGCATGAGTGATTGTGTTTCTGATTTTTACAGCTCCCCAAACTTTGCAATATAGTCCTGGGGCATGTTCATTTGCGATGCATTTAAAGACGCGATTCATTCAAATGTCCTTTTATTGTCATTATAGATACTTTAACAACTGGCAGATTTGTTATTGTATAACATTTCATCCAGTTAAACTTGTGGTACCAACCAACACTTTGAATTAATTCATTCCATGTTTTTGGGTGCACCCAAAAGCTTTTTTTTGTAAGGGGCTATACAGGGTGTTTGTTTTTAATTGCAACAGGTCCTTTTCTAATAAGCAGATGACCGTTACATGGACACTGTTTTCCCTGCGTGTTTATTGGGCTGGGACTTGGAGGGATAATCGTCAGTCAGTTGGCACATTATCTGAAATATATTAGCTTTCTTAATCTTGTTTTTATTGGCCATATTTAATTTGTAGTTAAAAGGCAGTTCTAATTTGAGACTAAACCAGATTAAACAACGTGTGAAGGACAACAGGCTTTGAGATATTCATAAATCAGTTCACATTTTCTTTGCCCAATTCTGAAACTGGATCTGCAAGAAGTGCCGCAAGCTCTGCTCACAATGTTAGTCAGGAGAATGGCATGCTCGTTACAGGTGCCTCGTCATTATCTCAGCAGCGGGCCATTCACTCATCCATCTAGACACCCTGCCATGATAATAGTGAGGTGCCTATCACAGTTATGTCAGACTTGTATGTGTCCATGTGGCCAGGACTTGCAGCATTTTCTTCTGCATCCAGTTTCGTTATTGGAGGACAGAAACATGAAAGCTGATTAAAGAAATATCTCAAAACGTGTTACGCTTTTTAACACAGAATCTGTTTATGGGCTGGATTTGATGCGAAAGGCGTTACGCTGGAGTGTGACAAAAATGTGTTACGCGCAGGCCAAAGCAACATAAAGCATTCAGAGCCCACAGCAAACAATACTTAAGCATCTAGAGCACATAGATGGCATACTTGTCATAATTAATTATATGTGATCATAATTAGGCACAATTAATCGTAACAAGCGAGATTATTAAGTGGCTCAGTAGGAATCAAACCCCGGACTGTGCTATCCGCAGCCTGACTCCTTTGCTTGGTGCCACGGGGAGGAGGTGAACGAGAGTGCAAGCAGCAGGATTGCCTAAGTATGACTCACGGGACACTGCGGTAGCAGGTGACCGTCAGCGAGCGCAGCTGGCTCCTGTGGGAGGAAGCCTAGCTCCCCCACGTGATCTTAAAACGTCATGGGACGGATCATAACGCACCAACGGATAACGCAGTGGCAGTATGACGTCATGACTTTCTACAGCAGACAATAGATAGCGTAGCGTGCGTCATAATCTTCCTTCCCTCACAATTACTTCACTTGCCACAGGGTGCTTCTCGCACTTCATGAGCATGAAATCGGAACACTAAACGCACTCTCAGAACAAGCAAAACATGTAGAAACTTCTCATTAAAGCACACTCCTTACACACATCTCTCCTGAATAAATTTCGACTTGTCTCTATCATTCTGATATACCCGGGGAGCACCCGAGTGTGTCATGTGCGCAACGCATCCAAAATCGCCCGTAGCTCCTCATAACGTAGCATCGCAATGCATGCATTATGTCCACACGAAAGTCTGTGCTTCCCAGGTTTATCGAAATTATTGAGACAAGTTTAATTAAAATTGTATGGATAGACGAATCTCACCAAGCAAACTGTCGAGGCGCGCGCATTCCGGAAGTGGTACGGCCGCCATGCTACTTGTAGTCGTCGCATTTTGGCTGCATGGGGCTGCGGTACGCGTACGTCATCGTACATCATTTTTGGGACGCTACGGTATCGGCTTGGATTCTCCTCTCGTGTCTGTACTTCATAAGGTTGTGTTGTTTGTGATGCCTTGGTTTGTCAGCGAGCGCAGAAAAGCAGTTGCGGTCGTCTTATCGCTTTAGAATCACTCTGTGATTCTAAAGCGATGAGACACGTCCATTGTGGAAATGTCTGGTCAGTTTCGCATGACGAGCTTGAATCGCTCGGGATTGAATTCTGAGGACCACTAGGTGCCCATAATCCTGCGCGTCAACTTCAACATCAACGTCCAGGATCCCAAGAGCTCGTTCCTGGAGTTCATGTATGAGTGATTCGAGCTTGCCATGCAAAATCCACCTGGCATATCCACAACCAGGAGCAGAAGTTGTGTTGACAAGGTCTCCACGAGACACGTAGATCATGTAGACGTCATAACTTGTATAAATTGCTTCTGTTACCAAAAGGGGTTCAAGAGCATGAAGAACTCTAGGCACTAAATGCACCCTTGCAGGAAACATACTAACCCATGAAAACTTCTCATTGTTGCATACTCCCGTATCCTCACATACTCCACTGCTGAATAAATATAAATTTGTCTTGATCATTCTGATAAACCTAGGCGCACATGACTGTTGTGTGTGCAATGCGTTTAAAACCACTCGAAGCTCCCTATAAACTAGCATTACAAATCATAACAGGGGCATAATGCACACACAACACATTATGTGCTCTCCAGGTTTATTAAAATGATCGAGGCAAGTTTTCTTTTGCAAATGTTTGAATTAAACTCAAATGCCTTGCATGTACATTACCAGGAAGACAATATTCAAGCTGATATATTTTTCTATAGGGCAGTCCAAGCTTAATTAACTTTCGAATAGTGCGTAATCATTTGCTCTTGGGAAAGTGTGTAATCATTTGCTTTTATTACTTCTGTGTGCAAATTTTACCAGGTGTCATTCGACTTGAGCGAGTACACTGCCAATGTTGATGCGCTTGGTACCTTGCGCATCCTGGAAGCCATCAGGGTGTGTGGTCTCGAGAAGAAGGTGAAGTTTTATCAAGCGTCTACCAGCGAACTTTATGGAAAGGTGCAGGAGATACCACAAAAGGAGACGACACCTTTCTACCCTCGGTCACCCTATGGCAAGTCCTCTTCTTTACCATGTTTTCAAATTGCCAATGGGTCATATTTTGGGTGGAGTATCAAATATAGATTTCATGATGACTGTCAGCTTTCTATTTGTCAGTGTGCTGAGCAGCTGTTAACACGTTGCAGAAACTGTTCACCACGTGTCCTTCCATTTTTCTTGGATTGCGTTTAGAACTTTGTCCTGATGGAGGCCAACTTCCGTGGTGGACCTGATTTAGTTAAAATCATAACAAAATAAAAACTTGAAAATTCAGTAACCATACATATTCTTTTTATTCTTGGAGGCCACTGAACATAAAGCTTCTAGCAGGGATTTTTTTGGTTATGCCAAGAGATATGGGCTTTATGTGGAACTCTATGTCGGCTCTTTCAGAAGGCAAGCACAGTAAAGTTAGGGTGGTATCTAGTTTATGCTGGTCGTTTTTCTAACGGTGAAGGTGAAGCGATACGGTAATAATATGTTTGAAGGCACCATTTGTGCTGTGGAGATAGAAGAAAATGCTTGACATCTCACTGCTTTTGAAAAAGAGGGTTCACTGATGCCAGAGAAGTGTTTGTTCTGTATCAAACTCAGTGGCAGTGTGTTGCTGCATCTGTAACTGCTGGGTTTGTCTACAGCCAGATAGCAATGTCCAGAGGATTCTTAATGTGAACATGAACTAAGATGCCTATTTTCGACAATGGCTGAAACCATTGTCTTTAAAAATGTGGTTTCCTGTACTGGAAAGCAATTGGCAAAGAACCCGTCACAAAAATTTTGCTTATATTCAAATAAGCAAACTGCCATACAGTGGAACCTTGTTGATATGTTCCCGATTTTTGTTTTTTCTCGGCTATGTTAGTTCAGAAGGGCCGGTCCCGCCAAGCTTCCATAGGAACACGTGTATTAATTTCCTGCTTAGTATGTTTACTCACCCGATTCTTGCGTCCAAAAGGCTGCCGACATTGCCGGCTGATTCGCGGATAGATTGACTGCGTGATGGCATGTCTGTGGATCGTCCACTTTTTAAGCGCATTCGCACGGAGGGGGGACGTGGGACAGCAAGGATCGACCGAATCACTTAGCAACTGCCCAGTGGCATCGTCGTCCAGGAGCTAACGCAATACTTGTTGCTACGGTCATGGCACTATCGCATTAGTACGAAAAAAGAATCGTTGTGTGCTGCTGTTATGTGCCGTACGAGACGGAACACCGCAAGACGCTTCGCATGAAGCGCCACTACCTTTACTAACCCAGAACATAATACAAGTGTGGTCCTGCTCGAGCAGAGTCGGAGTAGGAGCAACGGAGTCCTGGGCTTGCAAAGGAGTGTTTGTCCGTGTGCTCGTTCTCGCACACTCGCGCACAACACTTCAATACACCACAGGCGCAAAAAACTTGCTTCACCTCGGTCAATCTTGGTCTTGCCGGGTGTGAGACTGGATGGATGTGCAGGATAGAGCGCGGCGTGCTAGACGAGTTTTCACAGAAGCTTCTTGACACGGACCTGGAGAAGTACCGGAACCTGCATCGCGTCAGCCAGGAAAACAGTTCCTACCGCTTTCTCGACACATGGAACCAAAAATCGCGTGACAAAGTGAACCAGCAAACAGATGAAACGGACAGAATTTTGAGGTCAAGGAAATATATAAAGACTGAAAAATGAAAGTGCCCTTGTCCGCTCCCGCGTCAAGGGCACCGCAGACTGAAAGCCAAAACTGAAATAAATGAATATAATCCTGGGATCAAGTGGAATTTCATCAAAACGCCAATGGGTAACTTGACCAAAGAAAAATCGGGCCGCAGGGAAGCCAACGAGAAAAGAGGACCCCGCAAGGCCCGACACCAGCCGAACTCCTCGAGGGGGCACAAGAGGGCAACTCTCGTAGATCGACGATGGTCGCAGGGCAACAAGTGAACCAAGCAACCACCACCGCAGTGATTTTTGATTTCCCCCTCGTCCCTAGCTGGAGCCCCATTGAGGGGGCCCCCCCCGCTCTCCGGGGTGTGTGGTGTGAGGGGGAGGGAGTATAACATGAAACGGACAAAGGGAAACATCGCCCTGTCTTTGTTTTGCTTGTCAAAAAGAAATGTGTGTTGTTGCCAGACAAAACGCTTAATTAACCTCCGACAAAGGTCTGTGAAAAGCGCAGACCGAAAAAGCCGAGTGCCTTTCCACTCTCGAATTTTTCACTTCAAACCTCGCTTCAAACACGTTTAGTCTGGCAACAAAAAATTTGCTTTTTTTTAAAGAGCAACTAGAAGATGTTGCATCTTTGTGCTTTGTTCTGTTTTTGTTTGTTTGGTTATCTCTGTTGGCACGTGATTCTTGGTTCCACACGTGAGAGAAACTGCAAAAACTTCGCCCGGCTGACGCGCTGCAGGTTCTGGTACTGCTCCCGGTCCGTGTAAAGAAGCATCGGTCAAAAATCATCTAGCATATCACGATCTCCTGCATGTGCACTGCAGCCTGTCATGCAGCAAGACCTTTTTTTCAGCTTTGGTGTACTGAAGTGTTGTGCACAACTTCGCAGGGACGAATCAATAAGGACATCAGCAAACACCCCTCTGCAAGTCCAATACTCCGTTGCTTGCCCACGTTTCAGTTGCCCAAAGCGCCAGGTGAAAATCGGAAGCTTTTTCTGAATGCACTATTCGAGTTCACATTGATGAATGTTTAGAAACTTTTTGGATGCATTTGAGATCATGTCTTTACAACCTTTTTCTGAGCCAATTTGAGTTCACACCTACGAACGGTTGCATGAAATAAATTGTTTCGTGACAGTGCTATTGCTGTCTCATCTCTAGCACCCCCTGAATGGCGTTTTTGTTTCCTATGTTTTCCCGGATTGTATGTTATATTCCCCCAGTCCCCTGAAAAATGTATTAACTAGGCTATACTGTATTTACTGTTGGGTTGGTGTTGTATGGAAAGTCGGTGCTTTGGAAATCTCATTGTGGAGTGGGTAAATTGTGCAGTTATTTTTCACTTATCTGGTGCTCAGTAAATCAAATTTCTGCTTTGGTAAAGAGTGAGTGCTTTCTGGTTTGTCTCACTCAACCAGCTGAATACTACCTTAATTGAACCAGCTGGATGCTACCTTAATTGAATGGTTTGAGAGGAAAAATAAGTGTCTAGATAAACGGAAATACTATACCTATTAGTCGAGGTAAAGTTGTTAGATTCACAATGTAATTTGTACCAATGCTTTGCTGTCTTGTTCTCTCCAGGTGTTGCAAAGCTGTATGGGTACTGGATTGTTGTCAACTATCGAGAAGCGTATGACATTTTTGCTGTGAATGGCATACTGTTCAATCATGAAAGTCCAAGGAGGGGTAAGCTCCCTTATTCAAGACCATAGATTTCAGCAGTACTATCTCTCTGTCCTGAACTAACTGAATATATTTGTCTACTCGTGTAGGTGAAACATTTGTGACACGGAAGATCAGTCGGTCTGTTGCGAAAATCCATCTCGGTCAGTTGGAGCACTTTGAACTTGGAAACTTGGACTCAAAGCGTGATTGGGGCCATGCAAAGGACTACGTAGAGGTATGCTTGCTTTTAATGCATGAGCATTAGAATGCTCGTTTTGACGAAAACCCGGTGGTGTCTTTCGTTTGTTAGCGCCAGGGAGAGAGGGAGATGGAGGGGAAGAGGGTGACGTGCGCGACGCTCTCATTGGTCCGAACTGCCGGTGTCAACCTCTTTCTCTCTTCCTGGCGCTGACGAACTGACAGACACCTCCGGGTTTTCGTTAAAACAAACCCTTTCGTTTTCGTCAAAATCACGCGCACAGCTGGCGCAGAGTCAGAGAGGAGGAGGCGCCATGCAAAACCCCTTAGATAATAAAGCCGTGATGCTGAATGAGATGGCATCATCAGAGAAGGCCAACACTGCATGGACACAGAATGGAAACGAGTGCTACGTCAGCACGGCTTTGTTATCTAGGAGGTCTTGCACTGCGGCGCGGTGGAATGCGGGCATGCTCAGTTACCGCTCTGCCGTTGCTCTGGATTTCAATAGTAGCGGTGTGTGGGCTGTGATGTGTGTGTGTAGTTAAAACGATGGATGCAGTTCCCTTCACAAGTGATATGGATGCGGTTCCTGCCACGAGGGGTATGGATCTGGTTCTTTCCACGAGTGATATGGATGCATTTGTGTCGTTGGCGCACCCTCTAAGGACACGCTGCCAAGATGGGGATGACATGGGTGAAAAGACATCACCCTTCAAAGTATCTTTGTGGGCAGGTATTGCAACATTTTTTTGAACGCTTAAAGGGGCCCTGCAACGACTTCTTGCTGTTTTTTTTAATTTGCACCGAACCGAAGTGCACTGAACGTAGTAACTTAGTTAACTTTTTCTTTTTTCGAAATTCGCTTTATCTTAAAAGTTATAGGCATATTAAAATTACAAGAACAAGCAAAAAATAACCTCCTTCATGATGGATGTCCTTGGTCCTCTGTCCTCCCTTTTCCCGCGGATCGCGGTGACTGAGGAATGTGGGGAGGGAGGGAAAGACTGGAAAAGGAGGTGAGGCCGAGGAGAGAGAGCTGCCCGGGAACAGGGCAGCTCTCTCTCCTTGGCTGGCCAAGACCAACAGCGTCACGATTTCGTCACATGCCACGCGCGTTCGACACCTTGGGGCAACCCCCGTAGGAGGAGGGGATTTCCGCGTCGTCCGGTTAAAATATGACGCACTGATATTTAGCTACTCTCTCTGTGCCCGCTGGGTTGCCCGAACCACTAGAGACATGGAAACTGCAAAAAAAGGTAGATGCTTAAATAGAATTGTAGAACATTGACATCGCCCAAAAAATTTTTGAAAGTTTTTGCCAGGCAATTTATTTGGTGTCAGATGACTACCCAATCAATATTTTGCTACAGTGTCACATACATTTTTAATAAAGTAAAAAAACGCAACTGCTCGAAACCGAAATCGAATCTGAACTGGGGAGGAAGAAGAAATATAGAGATTTTTTTCAATCAACGTATTTGCGGTTTTTTAGAAGCCACAAAACATGGATATATTATTTTTTGTCCATTTCTATTATTGAGTGTGTGCCCTCGATGACCCACGGCTTTGATTACCTTTGGTGGTTGTGTCTAAACCATAGAAAACGGCACGTGAGCACGGAGAAGGGAGTGAGCGTGACTCAAACTGGCCAGTTCTCGATCGGCAGTTTTTGGGCAGAAAGAAAATGAATTTCGAGCCGCTTATTGTGTTCTGGGCAGTTGGGCTCTCATATGTCAAGTACAAACAAAAACCTTGGCGAGCATAAATACCCTGTCAGTGCCCCTTTAATCTGGGCGAAAAAACACAAAAATTGATTGTTTAATATCTCAAAAACCATTACCTTTTTGCAAATTTGTTAAATTGGTCTAGCCTCTAATAATTCCAACATGACCCCTAAAACCAATATACAAAAAGTGAATCAAGAAATTTCAATTGGTCATCTTTTCATGACGATTATCCCCTAGTCTAATGTCTGCCGAGCCTGATAAATAGAGGGTGAAGACAGAGCTCGTCTAACTCTCGCCCCCTAGTTTTAAAAAATCTTTTCGAATTAAAATCAAACATCCTGTATAATACAATGGGACTATAGGAAAGCTTTACTTTGCGATTTAGTCGAATAAATTACCAACATTCTTAGTCATAGACCAAGCACTGTTTTTGTCACTATGCAATTTATTGGCCTTAGTTGTGTTCAGTAGTCGCCCAGTCCTAGCTTGGATTTTGGGCAAATTATTTTCTGGACCAGCCTGATAGCACGCTTTACTTACGAGATTAGAAAAGATGCGTAAAACATTTCTTCACTTAGCTTCATTGTAAGATGGCCAGATAAGGATATCTTTATGCACATTGATTTCATGATTCTAATGTGAGCAACACTATATTAGTACTTGTTATGATCCCACTTATATTTGATGCACACCTGCTCATGCTGGTCTTCTGACAATGTTTCAGGAAAAAAATATTTTATTCCATAGTCAACAGATGGTGGGAAGCTCTTTCAGACCTCTTGACTCCAGTATAAGGTTTTGCCTTGAATGGCGTTTAGGTATTGCATGGTTTGAGCGTGCATGTACACTACAAAAGGTACCAGAGTCATGCTGGGGCAGAACACCATAAAAGATGGCATTGTCATTCTAAAGCTGTCAAAGTCTGTGATTACAAAATAGCACATTGACAGCACCAAGGCATAAAGAGGGAAGGAACTGTCATCTGTGAAAAGTGCCCGTGGAGCAACCTGGGTTCCTTGGTCAAGCTTTTTTCTATGCGGAGCGCAAGTTCATCTGCTTCTTACACAGGGGTTGCAATGCTACCAGCACGTTAAGCTCTTATTGGCTGATTGAGAAAAAAAGTGGGTAGAGCTCAAGGCATCCAGCACTGAGGTTTACCCACTATCCTTTCCATTAAATCCAATCGGAGCGCGGCGTCGTTCTGACATCACCGCAACTCCTGCGCAAGAAGCAGACGACTTGCTCTCCAAATTGCTTTTCGTATATCTCTTTTTCTCCTACATGCTCCTTCTCTTGTCACTCGCCATGTCTCGGGTGGGTGCTTTACCACGTAAGGTGACCCAGGAAGTCTGTGGATTAGTTGATATTGCTCCTTGTCATGCTGACATGACGCTGCTGCCACATTCTAGCCACTTTTTCATTAGCACAATATAGACATGCCAGCTAATCTGATGTAACATTCTTGTATAATGCAGTACAGATAATTGGATCCAAACTTAATTCACTCCAGTTGGATGTAAACACAATGGCTACTGATAGAATAAAACTTTGCTTTATCATTGACATTTGGCATTGGCTTTAAGCCATTACAGTATTCCGCTTTTGTGCATACTTATCTCAATATTATCCGTTTTTCAGGCCATGTGGTTGATGCTGCAACAGAGCCAACCAGAAGATTTTGTCATCGCCACTGGCGAATATCACAGCGTCAGAGAGTTTGTCGAAGTGGCTTTCAAGCACATAGGTCGAACGATCGTGTGAGCAAGGCCATTAACCCTCTTTCATTTTGAATTTGCTATTGCTCTTTGCCGGAAAAGAAAACAAGGAAATCTAATGATGGTCAGGAAGCATAGGTCCCGTTTAGGGAAAAGCTGAAGAGGATTTTGAAAGGCTGAGCTCACGTTGGGGTTCAGATACAGTTCTATCCTAAAAGTTGAAATGTGAAAATTGCGTGTGTTATGAATGTCGTCAACTACAAAACAAATAGAAAAATAGCAGCAAGCTGTAGTGTTGGCACCAGAATTCTTTGCTGTGGCTGAAAAACTGGTACGAGTTTGGCTGGCTGGTGTCATCTGCTGCATTCATGCCGCCTGCAGCACCGCTTTGCAGGTGCTGATACATGAATTATGCACATATCGGCCTTTCCAGTACTCAAACTGTTGATGATGCACTTTCCGCACTGTTTTCGGGACATTTTTCTGCCTAATCTGTGGATGAAACTTCCAAGATAATTAATATATTGTTTGTGATTCTGGGTACCAAAGGAACAACCATCAAGAGATTTTTATTAGGTGCAAAACCACTTCAGTTTCTCTCTAAAAATATTATTTGACAGTATTGTGCATACTTTTGGTTCTGTGCCAGCCATTTTGTTCCATCGGCAGTTTGTACAGCACAGTCAACTGCAACTTATCTGACGTGGTTTTATTCACCACCATTTAAAGGGGTTAGGACATGCCAAAAATAAAATATGAGCTAACTATACTGCTAGAGCCCATTGTGTTGTAGTCAACATACCAAGAGGCGTTCTTTGCTGATGCACTTGTTATTTACATATCTTAGAGAAATATTTGGAAAAAGGCCAGTTCGAGATAATATCTGAGGTAGGCGAGCAGAGCCTGGATTGCAGCTAGATGTGTTCCATCGGAGCTTGTGTCACAAGTCCGCTGCTCGTGGTGCATGGCTCCTGCCTCATTTGCTGTGTGTGCGTTGGTGCACATTGCTCTACCGTGTCACCCACTCATTTGCTGCATACAGTTTGTTCCTATAATCTGCTAAATTTGTTTTGAAAATGGCACAATAGTTTTCGTGGATAAATCGATTTAAACGCGGGATGCTCGGATCCACCCCATTCGAAAATGCTGCCATGTTTGTTGGGTCGGCAATGTCATCCGCCCAATGCGCGGCACGGCGTCCCCTTACACGCACTCACAGACTTGGCACTCTCGGCGTCTCGCACTTCAGCTTCCACGTTTAGCTTCTGCGTTCCGGGCACGCGGTTCCTATACGGTGACATCAACGGAATCACTCACTTCGTTGGACTCTTCGACACTGATCGCAGCAGCGATGGGAGTGATGTTGTCAAAAAATGTTAGAAGCTGGTCATTTTGACTTCGACCGGCTCGCGACCAGCTCCAGCGACGACGACGAGATCTTCTTGGACGAATTCGCCGTCGCGTGCAACGTTCGCGCACATGCATGCAGGGTGGAAGATCAGAGGTCAAGGGGACAAGAGCAAGAGTATACGCAGGAGTAGCCAAGTCGCGTGAGAGTGTGCTATCGTGCCGTGGCGAGGCGAGTTTGGGTGAGCATGGGGCACCTAGAATGAGAGAGCATTCAACTAAATATGATCACGCAGTTTGTGGGCACCATGGTGTGACTAACTTGAGCAGTGTTGCCTGGTCGCAAGACGAAAATGATCAACATTCCTAAATTGATTGTTGCACTTTCTAGAGCTCTGAAAATCGCAAAACTTGGCGTATATACGAAGTAACCTATGGGCTTTTCATTTCAAGAATAATCTACCCAATTAGGTTTCATGTCCCAGCCCCTTTAAAGACATATCATTGTTTAATGTATTTACTAATACTCGCTTTCACTTCTAGAACCGTAGTAAAAAGAAGTCTGGCTCCTCAAGGAGCATTACTATGTAGATGATTAAGATATATGTAGGGTAGGTGCTTTTTAGATTAGCGTAAAATACTGGGCAAGTGCCCACTCAAACTTTGGAGATAATAGCAAAAAAATGGGTTATGGTTGCTTGTCTAGTCATCAATTTTACATATAAATGTACTGTCGTATTTTCTCAGATCTTACAAATTTGGTAATGGGTGCTTAATGTGGAATGGGCGGATGCACGGTATTCTACGGTAGATATATGTTATCTTATCAATACGTAAACTCTTCTTCCTCCAACAATCAAACCTCATAAGAACTACTTTGCATTGAGTATGAGCAAGGTGCAAAACTTCCATAATGGGCTGTTATGCATTATAAGAGTCCAGTGTAACACCCTGCCAATATTATTGCCAGTTTTGTATTCACTAATATTATCTCGGATTTGCATTATGTATGTTGATGGTTTTGGCACTGCTGCTTTTCCATAAGAGTGTAATATAGAATTATTGACCTGGAAGATGCAATATGGGGTGCTGCAAGCTCAGAATGAGTTAATAGAACGAGATCCAACACATCTGCTGTTAATGGTGTCACTTTGGCGGGCTTAAAGGGGCACTGACACCCCAAAGATCATATTTTTTTTTATTGTCTAAAGCGATGCAAGTTATAGTCATAGACAAAAAAAAAAAAAAACGCATCGCGAAAAAAAATTTTTTGCGCGCCGCGCTCCTTTTTATTTTTGCCGCTTTTCTCTCCCACTGCTCCTCCTTGCTTCTTTTGATTGGTGACGTCAAAAATCATGAAATTTAGAAGCTTTGTAGGCGACATTTCTATATCATTTAATAGCGGCAATCGTAAAACATGTTTTTTAACACAATTGCGAACGCACTACAGCCCCTCTTTTTGAAATACCAAAAATCGGAGTCCGGTGTGATGTTGCTTCCTGGATTTGTATCCTCCCTCGGAAAACTTGGCGGCGCTTGAGCAGAGAATGATTGGTGAGTCGGGGAAGAAACTGTTTTTTTCCCGCGCCTGCGAACTTCTATCCCGCTCCTCACCTCCTCCTCGCTTCGGGTCGCGGTGGCAACGGCGCTTTGCTTCGTAGCGTGGGGCGGAGGTCCGAAAGAAAGTCGTCTCGCAGGAGACCACAAAATTTGACGTCACTGCACTGGCACGGATCGCATGGGAACTTCAAATTCGGCATTTGGAAATTGTCTTTTTGCTTCACAAATACTGGATTCCCAAGTTTCGAATTTTGAGAGTAATGTCCCGGCATCGTTTTCAATCGTTTCGTATAATTTAAAAAAATATGATTTTGATGTGTCGGTGCTCCTTTAATAACAAATTGTAGTAGTTAGATTAAAATCTAAATGAAGGCTAACAGTCATTGTTTTCTGATGAAGATTTACTCGGAAGTGGAATACCGTCTGACCAAACAACGAAAGGATTATTAAATAATTTATTTATTTCAAATAAAAGTGTTTTGCAAACTCAGTTTACATGAGTTCTGATTTTCAGGTGGGAAGGTAGTGGTCTGGAAGAAGTGGGAAAGGAGAAGGACTCTGGAGTTGTTCGAGTTAAAGTAAACCCCAAGTACTTCCGCCCAGCAGAAGTGGTAAGTTCAGTTATAAGCATTTTTTTACTCTTGCCATTTTGAATCTTTCTTTTAAAGGGGGCTTCATTAAATCTCGAGTTGTTGAGGTCTATGGTCAGTCTTCGCAGTGTCCCTTTCAAATCAATGTTTCTATTCCTTCATCAGCTGAAGTAGACTTTTGATTGAGGCCGTGTAGCACTTCCCCACGCTTGCATATGTCAACTGTTTTACCTTTTTTTTTTTTTTTTTTTTTTTTGTGAGACAGTTTTTTTATGAAAATTCGAAACAAACAATAAAATAACTTGATGTGGCGGAGCATTATCAAGTAACTGTATAGGCTCTGCTTGCAGAGCCAGATTATCGCATATATTTTCCTTTCATCGCCGCTAACAAGATATACATTCTACACTAAAATGAACAAACTGGAAGGTTCCTTGACCATTGAACATTATGTGTAGCCACTGGGTACAGTGTAATTGCATTCTTTTATAATGTGAGCACCGTTTTAAAGTATCTGTCTCCGAAGTATGGGAAGCAGACGACACAAAGAATGAACGTGTTGCTTGCGTCTGCAGCGCTCGCTGGGCGATACGCGATATGCGACCGGCACATCCGGGCACCATGGACCAGACGAGAAGGCGTAGCTATGGCTTGCTCACAAACCGAAAGCGAAGGGATAGCATTTTCGTCTGCCGCATTCTACCGAGGACATAGCGGGAAACTGGAGACGAATAATTGGACAACGGCGCACGCACAGCGCGTCACCACACTACGTTTTCTGCTCCGCCCACGGCAGCATGCCGCCTCACGGGCCGCGCCAGCCGCACCTTTGTGTCTCCTGCTAAAAAGACGGTCGCTTCCCGCAGTGCAGCCTTGGATCCAACATGGCCGCCCTGGGAGCAGCATTGCGGTACTCTGCTCTGCAGGCAGAGCATATACAGTTACTCTAGAGTGGGGGTCTCCAAACGTTTCGGCTAGGGGGTCCGGATTGGGGACCCATGCAGGCTTGAGGACCGGAAATTATAAAAGACAGTATAAACGAGGAAATGCTAAATAAATGAACCTAAACAAGCATTTAAATACAAAAATTTCTACTAGAGCATTCAGAAAGAAATGCAAGGTGGACAAATATGTGTAATTTATTTTTAGGTATAAGATTTTACTGGACATTACAAAATAATGGTGATCTTGCCAGACATAAATCAAAGCGCATGAGACCTCTGGCGTATTCACACCGGGCAGAAGACTAATGAAAATGGTAGATCAGATCAGATCACTACTCACATTATACATGAGAATGCAAAGGAATATTTTCATAGTTATGCAGACATGAAGCAAGGAATTGTGAATAGTAATCCTTGTGATGGCAATGTACAATAAATACGGCGAGAGAACCGGCGCTTTGGTGCAGTACTCTAGACATGTGCAAATAGTAGATTTCGAGTTGGAAGCGAAAAGTGGTTTGGCCGAACCTCAGTTTGCCGGAATTTCGAATTGAATAGTTTCTTCAAGCTTTTCACTACTGCACCATGCCTGAATGAAAACCCATCTGACCTCTTAAAAGTTGTTCCTTAACTTCCACTTGTCCATATCTAAGCTAAGTTCATTTTAACCTAGCTATATTATGGACTGTGCCCTCAGAAAGTCCATTGCCTACATTGGAATGGCAAGTAAACAATGCATTTAACGTAAAATTAAAGCTATTGAGTTGCCCAGTTATGCCTAATTGAGGGGATTTACAAGCCTTGCTATATTGAAATATCCTTTATTAAATCGAGAGTTTGAGAAAATAAGAATTCTGAATGATGAACGTAGGTTGTCAGGACATCTCTGCCTAACATATACCACATAATAGCCACAGTTTTTTTAAATTTCACTGTAGTGTAGATATCAACATTCACAAAGTTCCCGTTCCTTTTTACACACACTGCACACGTGCGTGCACCATCCCTCTTTGAAAGTGGGCTTTCCCTTTAAGAATGTGACTGCAATATTTGTACTTCTCGAAGTATCGATTGCAGCACGTTAGCCCCGTGGATCGCGCTTCTTACCGAGCACCGGTGCTTTGCAGAGAAGCAACACTTGCAAAAGTGAGTTCCGTGGGTGTTTCTTCTCCGGAGTGCACCGGTGCTCGGTAAAAACGTAGTTATTATAATGTACACTAGAGGTACAACTAGTGCTAGTGTGCGGTTTCAAATTGAAGCAGACAGCAACCAGTCTAAAATTGACTTCCTCTAATGCATTTCTATGGTAAAAAGTGAGTGCATTTTCTCCCTGCGCTTGATTACAAGAGCAAATAACTGGAATAATTTGTACTTACTACTAGATAGCTTGAAACATTTCTTGGTCATGCAGAAGGAAATAATGGTCGGTTACGGCGTTTTTCTTTCAAATTCATGGCATTAAAAACAATGCTAAAATGACTTCGAAGCAATGAAGAGCATTTCTAAAATGAAGGAGATATCAAGAACTACGCACTAACTCTGGATCAGTACCTACCTGTGCATGTCGACGATCAAAATAAAGTAAAGCCAAGTAATGAGGGCGATTTGTAATAAATTACATTTGTTTTATTCACTCTGCTGCTCATATATGGGTGAAAACTTAAGTTCTAGCGTTCAAAACTAACGTCTGCATGCTCAAAAACTTTTAAAATGGGGAAAAGCCAGAAAACTCTTGCTGCCAGATGATTTCAGCCCGATAATAAAAAGCACTTCTTCTTCCTCTTTTTACCTTCTTAGTGGTCATTTTAGTGGCATACAAATATAGCAGGTTATCAAGATTGCCACACGCGTCGCTGAGCAAGCGCGTGCATGTCCAAATGGTTACCGCACTTGGCTGTCGCGCGGAGGATATGGGTTCGATTCCAGTGAGCGGAATGTTCTTTTATTTATTCTTTCTAAATGGCGTTCTCGCAAATTCGAGAACTTTCTCGTCTGATCGAGGTACGAATATTCTTTGCGTTGAACGTTCTAGGCCGAATGTTCCAGAAACCCGTGTGGCAAGCCGGGGTCAGTCTCGCTCCAGCGCTCGATCGTGCTGTTCCACCGGCATCGGCACCTGCGACGCTAGTCTTTCTCTATTTTGTTTTGGGCACGAGTTCGCCCCATTAATTGTTCAGTTTACTCAGTTATTCGTCGCCTCATCCTTTGTCATTCGTGACAATATTAGCGTCATCGGGATGTTGGCGCTCCTTGAGCAAGTCCTACATTCTTTTCGGCTGCTATTTTTGCTAAAATTCGCCGATTGTCTTTGCACACTTTCTGTGGAACATAGGACTGGACCTGGAATAGTGAATGTTAAACATCGCTCACTGATTGGAAGAATACTGTAGCTAAAGTAACTTCACTTTTATAATGTTAATGAAGTTACCTACTATTTGCTACAACCCAAGTAACAAAGGTAATTTCTGTTATTCTCCGGTGAAGAGACAAAATTCAGGCGCGTTTTCCCATAGGAATGCACAGGTGTGCTGCAGAAGTGGACTGGTTGCTGTCTGCTTCAATTTAAAACTGGAAGTCCCATAGACACTAGCACCAGTTGAACCTCTAGTGTACACTATAATAACTCTTTGGGTAAGAAGTGCACTCAATGGGGCTAAGTCGCTGCAGTCAACACTTTGAAAAATGTGAATATCAGAATTCATCTGAATGCAAATATCTAATAACGTATTACTCAAAACTAATATTCAAAAATTTGAATATTTGCACAACCCTACAGTTTTCTGTCATTCTTTCTGATATCTTCGCTTCTTTTGTATCTTTGTTTCTGTCCCCGTCCTTGATGTTTTATCCTTTCAAGTATTCATATGTGTAATATCTTTGTTTGCGCTTTTGGTGCATGTTGCGGTGCCAATTTTTTTAGGAGCTCTTATTTTTTGCATTGGTAGCAGGGTTGGGCATCACCGGAAAGCCCGCGGCCATCCACGGCCGGTCAGAACGCCTTCGCGGGCCCAAATTTGGAGACCGCTGCTCTAGAGCAATAGTGCTTGCACTGCCACCTGCCGACGAGCGCACAAAACAAGCTCCAAAACCGAAACATGAGCCAGACTCCTGGATGGACTTTATGGTTCATAACAGACTGCACGAGTGGCACTTGTGATTAGTGGCCAAGTGGTTAAAAGCTTGCTTCAATATTCAGAACCGGAGGCACGCAGATTTTGTGTCAAATGTGTGGGACGCTGTGCCTAGCAGCGTGCCGTTTTCCCTTTCCTCACTTTCTTCTTCTCTGCCTTCTTTGCATGCCAGAAATGTGCTCTTTCCGGGTAATGGAAAGAGGAATATGGTTTTGATGTCACATTTGTCTGATGTGTTTACACTTTTTCCTTTAGGACTTCCTGCTTGGTGATGCCTCAAAGGCTAAGGAGAAGCTGGGCTGGGAGAGAAGGATAAGTTTCCAGGTATTTGCCTCTTCTTTGAGCAATGAAAGTACCGCATTTAGACAAATTTAACCCAAGCTTTTTGGGGTCTTTTGTCGAAGTTATGCGCTTCAAAACGCACTTTGGGTTATATTCGAAATTGAGCTTGACCACCGAACGCCTGAGCAATGGGGCAAAGCCACACCACAGCCATGCATGCTTGTTGTTGCTAGATTAAACACTTTTGAAAAGAGCAGTGAGGTGAGGAGTGACACAAGGACGAGGGCAAGCAAAGGAGCAGAGCCGCAGAGCCATTGCAAAGCCTCGATATTGCCCAACCGATCTCCAACGTCCTTGTTAACGGACGTGTTAAACCACTTTTTACTGCCTGTCTGAGAATCATTCTTGCGTTTGCATTCTGCGCCACCTAACAATGGAAACGACCGAATTGCGGCATCTTTTAAGAAAAAGCCTTTCCTCGTATTCAAAGACGTCGGTAACTCGAGTGCGGCGCGGTGTCTCGGTGTGGACAAGTCCACAATCCGGGGATGGTGCAAAAGCCGTGCACAGATTTTCCAAGCTGCCTAAGTGAAGGGCCCTCTATGGACCAAAGCGTGGTCGCTACCCTGATCTGGCGAAGGAGTTCGCAATGTAATGGAGAGGTCCCAGGTTTGATACCCGGACCAGGCGGATTTTTTCGGTCACGCACCAGTCACCTAGCTGTGTTTGGAGATTTGTGTTTGTCCTTTGTCCCTCTTGTTCCCCTTCTCCAGGGATTATTTTCGTCATTCTTGTCCAGCTCGCTTGCACCTTTGCATTTAATTGCATTACAGTCGAATCTCGTTATAACAGACCTTGGTTTTGACTAAGATTTTGGTCTGTTGTAAAAGGAGTATGTTGTATGCATATATGAAGTTGAGTCCATGGTGCATAGAGGAAAACCAACCGAACTTCACAAATCAGTATGTTATATCCAAATGTCTGTTGTAACCAGGTCTGTTATAATGACCTTAGACTGTATAATCATAACGTTAAATTGCAAGCTTCACCCTTGTTGGTGTTAGACTGGTGGCGGCTGATAAAACCAGTTTGCTTTACTGATGTCTAACCCCTGGTTAGCTCAATTGGTAGAGCGCTCCACCTGTAATGGAGAGGTCCCGGGTTCGATACCCGGACCAGGCGGATTTTTTTGGTCGCGCACCAGTCACCTAGCTGTGTTTGGAGATTTGTGTTTGTCCTTTGTTCCTCTTGTTCCCCTTCTCCAGGGATTATTTTCGTCAGTCGAGTTCGCAATGTTCGTGCAGGATCATCGGGGTCAATTCTTGCCTGTGAATATGGTGACCATTCATCTGAAAGCAAGGAAGCTAGCTAGCACGAGGGGCTTGTCTCTCTCGCAGTTTTTTTTTTAAGGCCAGTCACTCAATGGTGCAGAAGTTTGCACGTCGTGCGGGTTTTTCACTTTGCCAGCAAACTTCAATTTGCCGGAAGCTCCCAGCAGACTACGAAGAGAAGCCGATAGCTTTCTAGTGGCCCGTGATCCACCTACGAACGCACCGCAACTCCACGATTGGTATTGCCGACAAAACGCCAACCTTTTGGACGTGCCGTCGAACTATGCCGTGGGCGTTCACGGTACGAAAGAGGTGCGGCTCCGTACCACGGGCAACAAAAAAGCTCGAGTGACGGCAATGCTGGTGTGCACAGCATACGGACACAAACTGCCGCCCTACCTTATCTTTAAGAAAAAGGCCATGCCGAAGAATGAGAACTTTCCACCCCGCACGCACATGAGTTGTAGTGAGAAGGGATGGATGGACAGTGCCGTTATGAGCAACTAGATTCATGTCGTGTGGGACAGTCGTCCAGGTGCGAGATTAGCGAAGTGGTCCATGCTCGTTCTGGTTGCTTTCGGGGACATTTGACCGACGAGGTCATAAACACCATCAGGGAGGTCAAGAGCAACCTCATTGCAATACGGAGGGGGGGGGGGGTATGACTTCCCGACTGCAGCCCCTCGATGTATGACGTATCAACAAGCCCTTCAAGGATCATGTGTGGAGGGAGTAGGAGTGACCCGCCGAGAACAAGAAGCTAACGCCGGTGGGAACCGTCAAGCGGACGTCGATCTCGCAAGTCGCACAATGGATCACGAATGCGTGAAAGCTTATGCCATGCTCATGTGTGTCCTGTACATTCCTCAAGTGTTGCTTGTCCAGTAACAGTGACAGTACGAACGCAATGCTCACGTACAGTGATAAGGAAATTAGCAGCAACGACGAGTGAATAAAATAGACGTACGTCGACTTACCGTACTTACTCGCATAATGAACGCACCCCTCGCAACGGGTACTAATATTTGGACTGTTTTTTTTCCCCTCCCGTAATGAACGCACCTCCAATTCGCAGCTCCGCGAGTCTAGAATTGCGTCCAACTCACCCAGCCAATTTTCTTCTGCTGCCAAGCGGTTAGGCTAAGTCAACCTAAGCCAAGCTGCTCTCGTAATGGTTGCAAGTGCATTCTTGCGGAAGTGATCAACCATGAAACAGAGCGGCGCGCACATTTGACGAAGCTTGGGTCGAGTCGTAGCAGAGTCAACACCGTACTGCATTTGCTTGTCCTCACGATAGCATTGATGATAGAGCTTAGTTACAACAACCATCGCACAGCCCACGAAGCTCTGCTGTGTGACATGACGTGACAAATTATCGTTCCCCTACACGCCGCAAGAATGTGTCACTGAAAGTTTGGCAACAGCAAAACTTTTGGCAGGAAGGGACCATCCATATTACGTGGACACCGCGCGAAGAAAGTCATTATTGATACATCGTGAGCTTGTAACACGGGGAGAACTTTTTTGGCAATGAAGCCGGTTGTGTGCGTCCGTGCACTTGCAGGTTTTCAGCGCCGATTAAAGCTGCGCACCGCACTCCTATTTTTTTTTAAATGCTACAAAATGTCCCGGAATATAGCTCAACCTGCTCATCCCCGGTTGCCGGGTTGAAATCTCGACGGAGGTGCCCACATTTTGACACAGGCTTATTGCTGCCTTCGCAGCAATTTGCCCGCTTCTGTGTAACTGAGATCTCAGTTACACACCACAAGATCCCCAGGTGGTCCAAATTCATAATCTGACCTCCGCTAAGGCATACCAGATGCCCTTCGTAGGTCTGGCGCATAAACCTCCAAGTTCACATTTATTGGCCCGAAAATAGCCGAGTCTTCGCGTCTTGTTTCTACAGGCGTGAGGCATGTACATACCTGCCGACTCTTCTGAATCTTCCAAAAAATGTATGAATTATAACTAGGGCTCCGTGTTTTCGGATAAATCCGAAAAACACCCGCCGGTAAAATTTTGGTCAATTCGGATTTACCCGATAAACTCCGAATGTTTATGTGCCTATGCCACCCCCCCCCCCCCCCCCCCAACAGCAAAAAAAAAAAAAAAAAAAAGTAAATATTTTTTTATTTTTTTTTACAATTAGTTTAGCACGGAGTCAATGTTCCCGGGAAAATGGCACCATAATTATATTTCAAATCTCGGACCGTTGTCAAAAGGGGTCTTGCCGCTTGTCTCGTCGAGGTTGATTCAGGGCAACAGGTCATTGTACATTCGGGTCACGACAAAAGCCACTCTTTTGGTTTCCAGTTTGGGCCATGGGATTTAGAGAAAGGAAAGGGTATGTTTCTGGGGGTAACAGTGAAAGCTGTGGACCATTGAGATTGTATTAAATAGAGAAAAGGGACAGTTGAAACTATCTATTACATCCTTAACCACTCCACCTCGCGCGGCAGCGAGATAGATTGATGGGATGACTACGAAGCTTCCTTGCGGCTACCTCTGGAAGTTTATTTATCTTAAGGTATCGACGTTTACCGAAGCCACACTTGTGTACGACTTTTGTCGTGGCACAAATTAATAGTGCCAATGGCAATGGCACGAACGTCAAATTCATCTGAAGAAATTTTAATCGATACAAGCGCGTTTTATTCTTTATCTGGCTTACGTTTACATACGGTTATTATTTACATATTTATTTTCAATAGGAAGCATTGTGAAATTAAACTCCGAATTTCGGAAAATCGGCAATCAAACAAATATAAACTCTGAATCTTCGGCAAAAAATAAGCTCCGAAAAACACCCTCCGATTTTGACGAAAAATAAACTCCGAAAACACGGACAACTAATTATAACTGATTTTACGATTTTACGAATCTTGCTCCGAATTTTACGAAAAAATGCTAAAAAACACCGCTGCTGGTGGTATCTTGCACCGCCACAAGAGGGCGATAGGTACCGTCCACGGCAATGTCGTGGTTTCTATCAAAAACCCAAAGCCTTTGGTCGTGTGTTCGGCGGCACACGTTGGTTTGACCGCGCTGTTTCAGCCAGTTTCGTGGGGAACAGTCAGGCGGAGCAGTCCAAATGAGAGAGAGCAGTTTTTTTCTGCTGTATGTTTGTACTAAGCGATGGTATGCAATTACATCTGCAACAAGTTTCCTTTGGAAAACGTCGACCTCAAGATGGCTGAAGTTGAACAACTGCAGTCATTGGAGACTTCATCATTCAGCAGCATACGGCATTTTGTTACGGCATTCCCTGCACTGCTGCCTCAGCAGAGCAACGAGTCAAAGGATGAGGCAATGGACAAACTCCCAGTTGAGTTTGCTAACCTGCAAAGATATAATAACCTTTCGTTGGATATATTGAACGAACGAAGGAGCGACATACATTGGGTGCAGGTAGAAGAAATTCGAAGTGTGGACAGAACGCTCAGGTTCCACAGGATTGCAGCGCTCATGCTGGGGATTTTGACAGTTTCCCACAGCAACGCTGAATGTGAAAGACTGTTCAGCTCTGTAAATAAGACCCGAACGTAGTTCCGCTCCTCAGTTTCCGACAAGACCCTCGGAAATCTGCTCATGGTGAAGGGGCATCAGAATGGGGTGTGCTTTGAACAAGTGTACTCCGAGAACTTTCTAAAGCAGGCAAAATCGGCAGCAGCAAAATCTTTGAAAAAAGAAACTATCTTTGATTCCGAGAACTTTCTAATGCAGTCGAAACCGGCAACAAAAAATTCAACGGCAAAATAAACCGTCATTAATGCTGAAAAGTGCCTGCCTCATAGTTACCCCCCCCCCCCGTGGCCATGGGAGGATGTTATGAATTCGAAAGTCCACAGGTTAGCAGGTATGCATATATATTCGTACACTGAGAAACAGCCGGCGCTTAGTACGACTGACACGGTGGTCGTCTAATCGTGCATGTGTCTCCTGCTTTAGTAGCCTGAATTGTGTACCTGTATAAAGCTGTACGGCAGACCACATGTTTGTTGTCAATAGCAAAATAGTCAGTGGAAATTATGAATGCCGTGATAAGTATGCTCCAGTGCACATTCATTTGGTTTCACTGCACAACTGATATTTTCACGCACATTTATATATTTAGCTGGTAACAGCAAATTAGTATCATGAGCGTAATCAATCAGAGCAGATCATTGTCCTGCGATTTGGCGATAACAGTTTTCAGAAGTTCACCAGCACAAGATGTTGTCCATACATTAAGATGCGCACTGTCATGTGGAAACTTGTGAAAAACAACTCCCGAGCTGGTCAACTGGTAGTTCGAGCAGGCAGAAACACAACATGAATCTTTCTCCAGGCATCGCAGCAAGGCATCGGAGATGTGGCCCGCGCTCGTATCGTAAACAAAACGTCGTTCTCAAACTACCAACAGCAGTGAGATGAAACAGATTGCTCCCAGCTTTGAGGAGCATGCAGGGCAGCGCAAACTAGCGCATCCGTGTTACGGTGATCACGTGGACACCGTTAAGCCAACATCGGTAGGAGAAACTCATGACGTCATCAATCAATTTCGCTTTGAGAAGTAAAAACAAAACGTCAGAATGATGTAGGCATGACTCTGACGTAGTGGCTCAGTGTTGGCTGCTCCAACTCCGTGGTATTGAGTGCGCTGTTGATTGTGCCTCACGTCGCATGCTAGGGTTAGTAGATTTCGGCAACTTGGCTCATTTGAAAGTTTTCTGGCCAGTTTATTAAATATATAGATGGAATTAGATAGTAATATTTGACATGTGGTTTTCCTAGACGATACTGAAGAGGGCTGCATATTTTTCGCAGTATCAAAGATGAAGCGGAGTTGCCTTTTAAAGGAGCTGTGCAACAGTTTCAGTGCTTTGCTTAAATAATATGGGAGTTGGTGTCTCGACCTTTCTGAAGTAAAGAACAAAAAGCCGCTTTTGCCTGCATGTCCTAGTTTTTATTTTAAAAATGAACAAAGATTGAGGTTTTCGGCACTTCTCAACTCCTTCACCATCTTCCGAGTCACGCGCGCTGTGACGTCAAGGGGGTCGCGCGGGGTTCCGGTCAAGCTCTCTCTCTAGAGCCATCGGTGAGCAGCGAGAACTCATCCGCTTGCGACTGCGTGACCACGTGCTGGCAGGCGCAGCGCAAACTATATGGTGAAAGGAGGGAAGTCTCATCCGGGTCCGGCCATACCCGTCCGGCTCTGCTCCCCTCCGGCTTATGGCGGCTGTTCATGGTAGCAGATAGAGCTGACGGTTTTGTGGACCTAGGATAGATGGCGCCACTAAAACTCCGTATAAAAACGTGTCGATGATACCAGGTTTTTGACATATTTATATTTATGTTGGAACAGGATTTATAGAAAAGTTACCCTTTATCGAGCAGGTATTCGCACACTTCCTATCTTTCTACAAGACCCCCATTGATGTCATGCCGTGTGGTTCTCATGGCCGCCGCTTGTGGCTGCAGGTCGGGGAATATTGTAATTTTTGCCCCGCAATTACACGGCGGAATCGTAACATTTAGAAGGAAGGAGGTGTGTTTTCTGTCCTTTGTGACAAGATGAACAATGTCAAAAGTAGAAGATGCCAATTCTTTCAATGTTAAATTCGTTGCACAGCTCCTTTAAAACACAGCTCTGTGGCTTATTTAAAACAAGACATTTACAGTCGCCGACCGTTTTTACAGACTGATAATTTGGATTTGTTCAATATTTCGGACCTAAAGGCGGAACCATGACTTACCCCATAGAAATAGTGTATAATCATGACTAATGTTTCGGACAGCTTGAAGTCCGAAAGTTTGATTATTCGGACAAAATTGTAGCGAGCGATCAGCGGAAAACACCATCAAGAAGCGTCCATTTTGAATTCTGTGTTGGCTGCCAATGGATTGGCTTCGTTTGGCAGCGCTACTTGAGCACTCCTGCGTCCTACCGCTTGGTGACGCTATGCTAGCCCTTTTTTTTTTCCATTTAGCTGCACGTCATCATCATCATCATTATTATCATTTTGCTTTGTTTTTCGTTCCTTCGCGTCCCCATTTTTCGCCTGTGGATTTGCGCCTCTGATCTCGTTCGGACAACGCTGCCTTGGACGTCATGGCCCCATCTGTTGTTCTGCTACTCGACCATAATGCTAGAAAAGAAGGCAGCAATTCTCAAGGTAACAGAAAGTTGCCGAACGGAAACCGAGGCGTAACCTAAAACAAGGCACGCAGGCGTAACCTGAAACAAGGCACTATTTACGGCTTTTTTAAGCCCACTTGGGAGTAATGAAGGCAAGTTTTTCCATGTGCTGATTTTTCGGACTGCTCAATAATTCGGACGTTTTTTCGGTCCTAGCGAAGTCTGCATAATCGGTTGGTGACTGTATTTAGCAAAAATATATATAAATAGACTGGTAAGATAATCCAGTGCTTGGCCACCACCCCTTTGGCCTTCATATATACCAGTGTTTTCAGATAAAACTTGCACTTCGGACACTTCCTCTCCCATTAGGGGTCGGTCAGGGAATTTTGATATAATACTCAAGAAAAACCTGGAAAAATCAGGTAATTGGAATACATAATTTTGGTAGACACCCTGACTGTGACTCTAAGACTGCATGTTTCATAGAAGTCCTTCAACTTTGAAGAAATCATTTTCTTTGATGTTGTCACTTTAACTAGCTCCCGGAAACAAGGTTTGATGTCCAACATCACAGGTTGCTCTTTTCATTTTTTTTTTTTTTTTTTTTTTTTTGTTCAGACTTTATGTGAGAGACAACTCCTCTTAACAGCAGGATTTTTCAAGCATAGCGACTTTATGAAACATCTCTCTCTACCTTTTTGAAAGTATGAGTCATGGTCCGAAGCATGACTTTTTATTGTGTGGTTTCATCACTGTCAGGAATTTCTCTTGCTAAAGAAATTAGGTGTGCAGTGGTTCAGATATTTTAAAAATATGTAAGTGCTGAACCTTCTCATATGAAGCTGGCATACTTCATGCTTGCTAATATGTAGACAGTTAAACTCTTGCTGCATAGATCCATCCCCATGCCTCCTCCATGCCTTGGGGAAAGATATTCCACTCTGGATTTCAAATGGCTGAACATGATTTGGTCATCACAGCTATTGCCAATAGCAATCGTTTTGAGGGCTCTCTGTCATTGCCACAACACATTGTTCTACCTCACTCTTGGCACCACTGTGATTTCTGTTGGTGTTGTTTGCACAAAGGCTATCAATCTTGCTTTGTAGAGAATATTTCTCAATAACTGCATTGAGATTGGAATCGAGAAGTATTAGAGCATGGATAAATTGAACATTAATGAACGTGATAGTTTCATGCTCAAATGCAGGTCTGCAGAGGTAGTGTTTCTCTGTTCTTTTGTTGGTAGCACTTGCTTACCGTAGCTTGTGCTTGGTTGGATTTTAAACTCTCATTTCACAGTGGTGGTATTGTCTTACCTTTTAGGATCTAGTCAAGGAGATGGTGGACTCGGATATTTCTCTGATGAAGAAGAATCCTGGTGCCTAAAGTGATCTGAAGTTCTGTACCACATCTTGCCTTGTGCCCATCAGGCCTTCTGTGACATTCCACAACAGGGGAATGAATTTGTCGGCCCTGCTTCAAATTGCCTTATTGAGGCACAGTCATTTTACACACACATTATCTTTTGTTACCTGGCTGCGCACAAATGCCTTATACAGGCATCTTTCTCGATTTTTTTTTTCTTGTCACAGGGTTTAGATATTTAAATATCTTATTAGGGAGTCTCTTTGTTGCACTGGAATTGTTTTGTTTTCCTTTTATATATGAAATTCTGTAAACAAGCAGTGAATATAATATTAGTCTCTTTGGGACTCGGTGTATCAAGTGTGGTTTCCTTGAATCTCGGCATTATTTTTGCTATTGTGCAATAAAGGTATTTCTGCCTGACCTTTGAAATTGTCTATGTGTTTGAAGTTTCAATAAATGTGGCATGCCTCCAACAGGTGTAGACATGGGTGGGGCTTTTTTTTCTATTAATGGGTTCATCCTTGCATTTGTCGCCAAGCTTCCGTTTCTGCCATTAGTTTTTCAAGAGTTTTTGTATGCACTTTTATTAATTTGTTTGTATATGCGGGTGGGCAGAGGTATTGTTTCCTGATATCTGCAGCACACTTCGAGTCGTGAAACATTTATTGATCATACTAAGCAGACTTGTACACGTTACTGAAAAATAGTAAGGAATTAAATTTACAATTCCTCAAGAGCTAAATTGTAATTTTTTACAATTACAATTACCCTCCCATAAAAGTAACTGACCGTTACCCCAAAAAGTAATCCGTTACTTTCAACATTATTGCCCTCAAGTAAGAAACAAAGGGAAAAGGGTTATTCAAGTTCTTATTGTTGCAACCTGCTCCATTTAATGACCTCGAGTATTTTGAGCAACAGCTGACTCGAAAGTCTCGTCAGACATTTTGCGTTATTTCTTACTCGATATGTCGACCGCTACGCTGAAAACCCTTTGAACTGCGTGGGAGTGCCGTATTGTGCCTCACGAATGCTTTGTGCTCTGCATTGAGATTTTTCAGCGAAGTAATGGAAGTACTATTTACCCCGAAAATAGAGCAAAGCTTCCTCGTTGCAGCCGTTGCCTGATATTTGAGAGTTTTAGTAGATCGTTCCGATACCTCCGATACCCCCGATAACGATATGATGAATGCGCAAAGGCGGCGGCGGAGTATCTGATATCGTTATCGGACTCATCGGGACGATCTACTAAAAATCTCCTTTGTCGAAATCGCGAATCTGTACAAGTTATCATACATCTAACTGAAACTAAAATAATAATCATGCCCATCTTACTATACTGGCATATATTGCCAGCGCAACTTTCACGACCCTATCAAAATGGCTGTCATCTGGATGGTCGTCGTAGAACAGCGGTGCGAGGCTGGGTCTGCGACGCGTGAATAATTCTAGTTGCGAGCAGTATTAGAGCCTTAGGTTATTTTTTCACGCCAGGAAGGTGCAGGCAAGCCCTTTTATTATAAGGTCAATCATCCAGGAGCTAGGGAGCGCGATTCTCACACCGCGGTACCACTATCGCTGAAAGTTGTAACAGTAAGGTGACAAATAATAAATAAGGTTTGACTCGATATTATTCTTCCTTTGGTTCTGAAGAGGTCGAGCCTCGGTTGAGACGTTGGTGAATAAAAAAAAGTTTCCAGTAAATAAATATAAGTAATAAAAAAAAAAGTCACTTATAACAACAATTAATTAGGACGGCGGTTAAAACAAGGAAATGGAAAGGCACGTTTGCCTTGTGTACCTTTCTTGGTGCTATTCAAAAATGGACGAAGCGTGAACCGACTGCAGTTTACTCCGGTGTTCTCCAGACAGACGTCCGCTGATGCCAAGGGCAGCGAATGGCAGAGTACTAAGTAATCCCCGCTATGGCCACACTAACGAGTTTCACTCTCTCCTCAAGCCAGAATATGAAGTCTACGTCAGCCACCGTTATGATTTATTTGTAAAAATATCTGCTTGAGGTAAGATGCGTCCTGCTGGGGTCAGTACAGGAAGAAGAAGAAAAAAAGGCTATTACCATTTTCGAAGTGCTGGCAAAAAGCTGACTCACAAAAAGGGTGACTTAGATGCTGATAACCTGGCTGGAATTCACAAATAAAGTGGGCCAACCCTAGAAGTTGGACTACAAAAAATTAAGTAGCTTTTAAAACAGGGTTAAATTAGATGAAAGAAACAAAAAAAAAAAAATCCTGTTTTGTAAAAGAAGATGATAAAGATTAAAAAGGCGCGACAGGACAACGGACACAGACACAGCGCTTTGTCTGTCTCCTTCTGTGTCGGTTGTCCTGTCGCGCTCTTTAATCATTATGAATCACCAACTCGCCCACCTTTCTACCCTCGTGAGAAGATGATAAGTGTGCCGCAGCGAACGAGCATGCATGCTTGTGGCAATAACACCTTCACATATTATCAGATCTCTTTTAGTAGATTTTAGGGTTGACGGAGGCGTTGTCTCGTGTTTGTCATTATGAAAATGGTCGTAGTCACTATAACCGAGAAGGACATTGTTAATTCTTGTCTGTGCACTTACCGCCTCGGGCTTCTCGAGGAGGCATACAATCACTTCGTGTCCTCTCCCCGCCGTCGATCGCAAAAAAAAAAAAAAAAAAAATAAATAAATAAATAAAAATAAAAAAAACGAAGGGATAAAAAGAAGCGGATATAACTTGCCCCCCCCCCCCCCACTTTTTTTTTTCTTTTTGTAGAAATGCTTATTCAGGCTATGTCATTCAGATTTATTTGGTTTAAATCACATTAATTTTATTTGAATACCTAGATAGAAAATAGTTACTCGATATAACTAAATGTATTTCTAAACATGGCAGATTGGTTGATCAATTCGTCTGATCATTGGTGACAATGCGGAAGAAAGAATTGCTCCTAATTTAAAGTACAGTTTTCGCCGAGTATAGAAGAAAAATTGCTATTTTTAATATATTTTTTCACGTTCTAAGTTGCTTGCAATAAGACATTGCTTTTTCTAGGTTTTCCTTTTTTCGCGTTCTGATTTACTTGCAATAGGACATTACGTAACTGACAAACAAAATGGAAGGTAGAAAGAAAGCTCAATGTTCGAGTTGCTCAGAAAAGAACTGCTTTCTACTCGTGTTCTGCACGATATGAATCTTTCTTGAATATTTTTTTTTTTAATTTTTGGTATGAAACCAGTGCACGTGGAAAGCATAAAACGATAGACAAATGGCAAATAAAAACTATTTTCCTAATTATTTTTTAGGGGGAGATTTGATCTAAATCATAGTGAAACTGGCCTGGTTTAAATTCGAGATGCCGCGAACTTTTTCGACCCTAAGGTTCGAAGGTCGAACCAGAGGGTTCGACAGGTTCGAGAAGTTTCGCTTTGTCGAACAATGGCGTTTATAAATTGTATCATTTCGAACTTCCCAACTTCTTATATTCGATTGTTTCGATCTTTCGACCTGCTGAAATTCGCGATTTACGAACTTTCGATCTTGTTTCTTGAAAAGTTCGATAAGTATCATTGTTCCGAACCTGCCATCTTGAAATTTTCAACGAATTGCGAATCTCATCAGGATTCAAAATATTGCGCCGAAGCTTTTATTCGTCGTTCCTAGGCGGACCGACCACACGAGTTCTTGCCTATCTTGCCTGTTGTTGGCGAGCATCGACTGGCGACTGCCCGGCTTAGTTGCTGCGCATCGTTACTTGCTTCCAGTTTAGTTTCACTTCGCGACACTTTGCGACCTTTTTTACGTTTTCGGCGAAGATCCAACGATCATGCATGGAGCAGGCTGACATGCATGCAGTCATTATGATCCCATTAAAGGAAGAACCAGGAAGCAGACTCAAGATAATTAATCGTTCCTCTACAGAGTGCTATTAGGTGTCTGAAGATGATGTGTGCTCCTTTTACATCGGTCCTTAGGGAGATATATGCAATGACTACTGTTTATTTCTGTGCGTTTTTCATATCCCTCAAGAAAGCTGCCTTCAGAAAGTGAAGATCTCTCAACATAATTACGCGTTTTGCCTGTAATGATTTTAAATCACATTCATAATATTTTTAAGAATTAAAAAAAAAATTACACGAAGTTCATAAATGTCTATAAATAATTTTCTGCAGTTCCACACACCCAAGAACGTCAACCCTGTAAGAGCTCTAAAAAGAGAGTGTACATGCATGCAAACAAATGTGGCCATGAAGGAAGAAAATATTGTCGCTTAAAAAGCCTGGAAATTCGACCAAACTAAATGGACCGAGCGTTACCACTTTTTTGAAAAATTAAAAAGGGAAGAAGATATTAAAAACTTGCAATTAAGATGCCCGGTTCCTCGGCAGGAACTTCGGGGACGCCTTGTAGCTGACTCTGCTCCCAGCTTTCAAGATGGCACCTGACAGAAGCTCTTCATTAGTTATCTTTAAAAGAAAGCCTCTGGAAGGTGTCATATAGAAAGTTTGTGCGAATGGCGCCATATTTTCTTTGCTTTCTCGGGCGACGCACACGCGCATGCCGGGTTGCGGAGCAGTACACGCTGGGCTGTTGCTTGGAACAGGGTGCCTTGATGTGCGCTTTTCTTTGGGTGATGACATCTGACCATTTTCTTCCTGACGCTTTTATTTCTTTTTTGTTCGCGCGTCTCCCGACCGGCACGATATCTTGCATTGACAGTGCTACGGCGGCAGTTTGTAACCGGCTATTTGTATTTTTCTCGAATGCGCGTGCTGTCGGCATCGATAACTACAATGTCATCACCCTTAGCAAAGTGCACAAGAAGGCACCCTAGCTTGGAATGGTGTATACACCATTCCAATATTTATAAAGCCACAGCCCAGCGTGCGATCTTTACAGCCCAGCACGCGTGTGTCTCTAGCTGTTAGAATCCAGTGATGTGATTGGCCTAAGCCGTTTTGGAGCACCTTTCGGAGCAGCCAAAACAGTGTTTTGGAGCAGAAAAAGAGGCCTTTGGAGCAGCCAAAACAGTGTTTTGGAGCAAGAAAAAGTACAACGTAGACTCTAACCAATTTCTTCAATGTGCCCGACGTTTCGAAGCCAGCTCGGCTCCTTGTTCACGGGTGACTGTATATGGGCCCAAGGGTAGCAACCTGTCGTCGTTTTCTTCTCTTCTCTCCTAGCTTTGTTTTCTTCTTCTGTTCCTGTGTGTGGCGCATTTTAGCCCGTGTATATAGCTGCTTGGAAGCGTTCCGGTGGATCGGTTCAGGTTGTTGCTTGTATTTTGAACACCAGCTGACAAAGGGAATGTCACAGTGGTGATGGACCGTACAGACTATAAGGAGAAGGTGCACGCACTTCTGAACACCAAAGCGTACATGATGCTACCGAAAGACCCGACATCAAAAATTCAAGGAATCTTAAACAAAG